TCTGCGTAAGAAGGAAGGAGTTGGCCGCCTCAGGACAGCGTCTGAGAGCTGTCTTGGGTTTCTTTTCTTACAAAGCATTGTTTTACACGTATTTGCAATGAAGCTTTTCTACCTGCTCATCAGGACAGAGAGTGTGTGGCTGCTCGGGTCAGACCGTGACTCCGAGACCATGGGGGGAACCTGTTCCATCTGCACGGACAGCTGGGTTCAGAGGATCAATAAAGTGCCTCTAGTGTTTAAAGCTGACTTTCCAATTAAAATATCTCTGTGGCACTGTTTGCTGTTATTGTTTTGGATGGGTGAGAAGGGCGGGATGGGTGCTGGAAAACCCAGACCTAGAGTAAATTGGTATTTTTACGCTTTCTGAGGATTTTTAAAGACATGCCCTCCCCGCCTTGGTTCTGACTGCAGGTACAGCGAGGGACATGGGGATCTCAGCTGCCCTGTTTCCCCTACTCCTGCTGCATCTCAGCTGCTCTCACCTACTGCACTGGACGTACAAAGGTAATGAAAAATGAGGCTGTTTTGGGATTGCTACTGATGCTCCCATCCTTTTTGTACCACAGAAGCAACACTCAGCTTGACTCTCTTTCCGTTAGTGAAAGATCTCCACAGAGCAGCTAATTTATTCCACGTTATTGATGCCTGCGTGTCTTGAAAGTGATTCTCTTCAATGTCACCCCTTTTTACTCCTTTGTGTGGTTAGGACACATTGTCAGCGTTGGCAGACACACCAGGTTCAAACAATGGGGAAAATCTTTTCAGTGTGTTAGAATAAAAGCTGCCCTTTGGATGATCCTGGAAGAAAAAGCTTTAAATACTGCCTGCTCGTTATTTTATTGTCATATCCCATGTGGTACAAATCACTAAGAAGTGCTTATTTATGTAGTTATATGTTTTGTGAAATTTTATCTGATCTTTCATTTGTTTCAGGGGGTTGTTTGCAGAGCCCATTGAAGTAAAGGGTAATCCTTTTCTGATCTTCAGTGGGCTGGGAATCAAGCTAAAACAAAGGATTTTGTTGAATAGCTGCAATATTGCAATTAGGACAGTAAGCTATTTGCAGAAGTTTTCTCTGGATTTTGTTTTGGCCATGCTGTCTGCATCTCCTACGACCCCATAGTTAATCAATTTCAGGAGTCAGGGAAACAAATAGCTGCAAACTGACATTGCTTAAATGAACAAAAAAAAAAGAAAAGAATTGGCAAATAGTAACAAATCCGCGGGTGCGGCTGTAATTATAATAATTTGAAAATTAGGGAGAAGATGAAGTAGCTTTGAACTATTCTATTTTTAAAACAATCACCTCTCCTTCCAAACCATCTCTGCAGGATTTGGAGTCAGCGAGTTCAGCAATCACACAATGATTATTCCTTAGCTCCAGCTCTGTTTGGCTCAGACAGACGTGACTCTGACACGGATCAATATATTGGAGTTCTGGGGTGAAGAAGAAAAGGTTTCCATACTGATTGTCAGTCACGGCCACGACAGAGATAGAATCAAAATTTCTACTTCCACTGACAATGCTAAATATAGCACTATGGAGAGGGCAAATAGCCTGGAAGGGTTCAAGCATTTGTTAATAGTTTCAGCAGCACCCACAGCTCTGCAGGAAAGATTCAAATTAGGGCTAAGAGGCTTAGAGCCATTGGGAAAAGGAGAACATCTGGCCTGCCAGGTCTCCCACACATTTGCTCCCTCCATAGGTGACCACAGGAGGTTTTTAGCATTAAATACTTGCAGAGATGCTGAGCGTCTGCAGGTGAAGCCAGGGCCTTTAGTTATTAGTCCCATGTCAAAGGGGGACCTTTAGGGGCTATTGGGCCTGGGGGCTGAAGGGACTTCAAGAGCTCAGAGCAATCAATCCTGAAATTGGGACACCCTGGTCCTATTCCACACCAGGATCTGTCTCACAAGAATTACTGTGTCATTATTTGTTGTGTGTAAAAAGGGGGTGCCAGGCAGAGGCATAGCACTCTGCTCAGGAGAGGAGGTTTTGTTAATAAGAAACACACTCAGGACATCAAAGCCACCCCAGACTACCCCTATCCCAGAGAACATACAAAAGGGCCACCAGAGTTTCGGCATCCTGTATCATGCCTGCATCTTGCAACAGTCTAAACAGTTTTTCAGAGCTCTGAATATTCCAAAGGTTACAAATCCGTCACATTCAAAACTAGATTTTTCAGTGAGCAGGGAAGGTGTTGAATGCAAAATGCCTTGAAATGCCAGGCATCACATTCAAAACTAGATTTTCAGCGAGCAGAGAAGGCGTTGAATGCAAAATGCCTTGAAATGCCAGGCTTGTAGGAGTGGAGCACTTTTAAATCTGGCCTCAGAAGTCTGATTTTCAAAGGAGCCAAGCGTCTAGAATTTTGACTTCTAACAAGACTGGGAACGCTCAGCTCTTTTGTAAACCAGTCCCTTAAATGCCTTCTGCCTTGGCTCCTTCCTCTGCGTAAGAAGGAAGGAGTTGGCCGCCTCAGGACAGCGTCTGAGAGCTGTCTTGGGTTTCTTTTCTTACAAAGCATTGTTTTACACGTATTTGCAATGAAGCTTTTCTACCTGCTCATCAGGACAGAGAGTGTGTGGCTGCTCGGGTCAGACCGTGACTCCGAGACCATGGGGGGAACCTGTTCCATCTGCACGGACAGCTGGGTTCAGAGGATCAATAAAGTGCCTCTAGTGTTTAAAGCTGACTTTCCAATTAAAATATCTCTGTGGCACTGTTTGCTGTTATTGTTTTGGATGGGTGAGAAGGGCGGGATGGGTGCTGGAAAACCCAGACCTAGAGTAAATTGGTATTTTTACGCTTTCTGAGGATTTTTAAAGACATGCCCTCCCCGCCTTGGTTCTGACTGCAGGTACAGCGAGGGACATGGGGATCTCAGCTGCCCTGTTTCCCCTACTCCTGCTGCATCTCAGCTGCTCTCACCTACTGCACTGGACGTACAAAGGTAATGAAAAACGAGGCTGTTTTGGGATTGCTACTGATGCTCCCATCCTTTTTGTACCACAGAAGCAACACTCAGCTTGACTCTCTTTCCGTTAGTGAAAGATCTCCACAGAGCAGCTAATTTATTCCACGTTATTGATGCCTGCGTGTCTTGAAAGTGATTCTCTTCAATGTCACCCCTTTTTACTCCTTTGTGTGGTTAGGACACATTGTCAGCGTTGGCAGACACACCAGGTTCAAACAATGGGGAAAATCTTTTCAGTGTGTTAGAATAAAAGCTGCCCTTTGGATGATCCTGGAAGAAAAAGCTTTAAATACTGCCTGCTCGTTATTTTATTGTCATATCCCATGTGGTACAAATCACTAAGAAGTGCTTATTTATGTAGTTATATGTTTTGTGAAATTTTATCTGATCTTTCATTTGTTTCAGGGGGTTGTTTGCAGAGCCCATTGAAGTAAAGGGTAATCCTTTTCTGATCTTCAGTGGGCTGGGAATCAAGCTAAAACAAAGGATTTTGTTGAATAGCTGCAATATTGCAATTAGGACAGTAAGCTATTTGCAGAAGTTTTCTCTGGATTTTGTTTTGGCCATGCTGTCTGCATCTCCTACGACCCCATAGTTAATCAATTTCAGGAGTCAGGGAAACAAATAGCTGCAAACTGACATTGCTTAAATGAACAAAAAAAAAAGAAAAGAATTGGCAAATAGTAACAAATCCGCGGGTGCGGCTGTAATTATAATAATTTGAAAATTAGGGAGAAGATGAAGTAGCTTTGAACTATTCTATTTTTAAAACAATCACCTCTCCTTCCAAACCATCTCTGCAGGATTTGGAGTCAGCGAGTTCAGCAATCACACAATGATTATTCCTTAGCTCCAGCTCTGTTTGGCTCAGACAGACGTGACTCTGACACGGATCAATATATTGGAGTTCTGGGGTGAAGAAGAAAAGGTTTCCATACTGATTGTCAGTCACGGCCACGACAGAGATAGAATCAAAATTTCTACTTCCACTGACAATGCTAAATATAGCACTATGGAGAGGGCAAATAGCCTGGAAGGGTTCAAGCATTTGTTAATAGTTTCAGCAGCACCCACAGCTCTGCAGGAAAGATTCAAATTAGGGCTAAGAGGCTTAGAGCCATTGGGAAAAGGAGAACATCTGGCCTGCCAGGTCTCCCACACATTTGCTCCCTCCATAGGTGACCACAGGAGGTTTTTAGCATTAAATACTTGCAGAGATGCTGAGCGTCTGCAGGTGAAGCCAGGGCCTTTAGTTATTAGTCCCATGTCAAAGGGGGACCTTTAGGGGCTATTGGGCCTGGGGGCTGAAGGGACTTCAAGAGCTCAGAGCAATCAATCCTGAAATTGGGACACCCTGGTCCTATTCCACACCAGGATCTGTCTCACAAGAATTACTGTGTCATTATTTGTTGTGTGTAAAAAGGGGGTGCCAGGCAGAGGCATAGCACTCTGCTCAGGAGAGGAGGTTTTGTTAATAAGAAACACACTCAGGACATCAAAGCCACCCCAGACTACCCCTATCCCAGAGAACATACAAAAGGTTCCTTTTATTTTAACCATTTCACCTCTGTTCTTCTTTTGCTTAGCTCTCTCCCTAGTTAAAAACAGCAAATTTGCTGCCAGTTCCCAATCCTCAGCAGAGAATTCCCACCTATTGCCCTAGTCCTATTGGTTAAAAACCTAGTTCCACACCTTTGGCAGCTGAGAGCCATTTAAATCCCCATTTCTATAAAAACCCTGCTTCTCTTGCGGCGGAGGTTCAGTCTCCAGCCATCACTAAGCTATTACTGCAATGCAGGTTTCCTATTTTGCAGCACAGTTGTCCTGCAGACAGAATAACGTGGATTTTCACTCTGGGGAAGGCAGAGCAACCTTTTATTGCTGCAGCTCCTGGTGTTATAATAACTAGATTGGCACGTCCTGCTGGCAAATGAGGAGAGTTTTCCTGCTCCTGAGCTAACAGCAGTTCTCACCACGTCCTAATAACCTGGTTTGCTTCTCCTCCACCCAGAAGGAGAGCTGGATGAAGAGCACTGGGGAAAGCACTTTGCAGACTGCGCGGGCAAGCGCCAATCTCCGATTGACATCCAGAGGAAAAAAGTGAGGTACAACCCCCAGTTACTGCAGCTGGAGCTGAGTGGTTACGATGGGCCTTTGCAAGGGGACTTCACGATGACCAACAATGGTCACTCTGGTAAGACTGGGGGGAATCCTTCTTGTTACCTACCTAAAACAAGGAGCTGGTGGAGAAGTCACCGCCAGCGAAGCAGCAGCCTGAATCAGAAATCAGGGACACAGCTCAAAGGGTTTATTTGGTCCTGTCGGTCACCCTTCTGTCAGAAGGCTAACTCCAAGATATAAGGAAGCAAGAGCTGCTTGGCCCCTCCAGCCCCGTTTTGCCCCCCAGCCATGGTGTGGTACCTTCATGGATCACTGCACATGTGGCATCCCGGGGCCTCCTGTGCCCCGTTTCCATGACAATGGGTGATGCTGGCAGCCAACAGCCAGCAGCAGCAAAGAAAAGGCCTTACGTTTTTGAAATGCTGATGTCTTTAGTGGTAAATCTGCCCCGAAAACCCAACCCTTTTATCCACACCTCTTTGTTCGCATCCTGCGCTGCTGAGCTCGGGTTTCTGTGCATCACACAGGGCTGAGTCCTACAATGAATGCCATGGGAGAAAGCACCTACCTTCCACTGGGACAGCTGATGGAAGAAATACCTCAACCTGACAGCTTTCTGCTTTTAAGCTGTAAAGTGGGCCGTGGTGTCTCCTCTGGAGAATTCACCTGGGCAGTGTAGCGTGCACTCATTATATTGCATTTGGGGCATAAAAGAGACTTTATGAGTTGGTGTATGTATTCTCCCAGCACACTCAGGATACAAGAACAGCTCCTGCCTGTTCCTCTCCGCGCTCTGCCGTAGCCAGAACATTATCACAAACCTCTTGTGGCCAGCAAGTGACACCAGGTTGAAACGTGGTGGAATAAGCCAGCTTTGCCGTAGGGGTAGGCAGTTTTTTCTGGCTGAGCAGATGTCCTGGGAGGATGTCAAGCTCATGACAGTGCAGGAACAGATTATTCGTTTTAGCTGATTGAAATGCTATTCACAGACAATACCTTTTTTTTTTTTTTTTAACTCGCTACTTTGCTTTGCCATCTCCTTCTGCTCTCCTCGTTTTGCTGTTTTCCCCACTCACACAGGAAATCTCTCCAGAAACACAAATATAAACCAGAGAAATAAAAGGCAGTTATTGTTCTGCAAGATATTTTCTCTGTCAGACATTAAAAAGGGATAAAAGCCAGCTAGAGCATTATAGGTTGGCCCTTTCCTTCAGTGCACTGACTGCAGGACTATAGTAGTTGTTGGTATTTGGTGCACACTGACTCCTCTCTGCGTTCAGAAAATGCATCTTTTGCCCCTGTGCAATGATAAGAACTAGAAGTGACAGGAATAGAGAATAGTTCAGTAGCAAGTTTGCATCTCAGGTTCACATGGGTGTAGGTCACACAAGGTGAGGAGTTGGAGGACAGAGGAGAATCCTCTCCTTATAGTCAGACTTGTTATTTCAGGTCTCAGGAAGCTGAAGCACAGCAAGGGTTAAAAGCCTTGCCTGTGGCCACATGGTCTCTGGGCAAGGTTTATGATTTAGGAGGTCCTGGATTCCCCTCTTGCAGTCTGCAATTCATTGTCTAAATAATTCATCAGCTGGTACTGTTGGGATAATGCTTTTGGACTACAGATGAGCAACGAAAGAATTTTCTAATAGCTGCAGTGGGGAGGGAATGGGTATTTTGGGGAAGGTGTTTGGAACATAAAGGTGGTAGCTCTAATCCCACACAACAGGCCTTTCTTCCCCTCTGAAACAGAGAGAGAAGTACAGAGTGAGAGCAAGGAAGTGAAGTGCTGAGAGACATAGTGCCTTCCAGAGAAAGACTGTTGTGATTGTAGTTCTCAAAATCCGAGTGAATAAGTACTCCTGTTTGTCGCCCACACGAGCTCAACAGTCAGTTAGAAGCTCTCGTGTCAGCATTGCTACCCTGACTGCCTACAAATTAATTCCTGCAGGTTCTGCTTTCACATCTCTGACTGCACATGTGTATTTTCCTGTTCTTTTGTTAACATCAAAACAGTGATTTTCTAATGCAGGGCACTTTAGTAAAGCACAAAGGCAAAATGACTGTCCTTATTCACAGCTCTGCAGTCAGGCTAGGCTTTCCTACTGCCTTCAGAGAGATGGGACAGGGCAGAAATATCTCAAGGAAAATATTCCACTGGGCCACATCACCAGCTCTGAAAGGGACAGGAGATGGATTTAGCAGCAGGACTCTCCTTACAGGCTCTCAGGGGCTGAAGACCAAGCGTCTCGCCTAAGAAAACAGCTACAGTTCCTCTCTAGTTGTGTAATTACCAGGCTAAATCCCACCTGATAAAGCCTATTTGCAGTAGTGCAGAGAGTCTGCACAAGGAATTTGCACTTATCTACCACATCTGTGCAGACACACTCACACAGATAACCTTAGGTTAATGAAGCCTTTTGCATTTGGCATTTGGACTTTTTAATATTTTTTTTTCCTTTTTTCTTTTTTTCCCCCATTTTCCTTTTTTTTTTTCTTTTTTTCTTTTTTTTCCCCATTTTCCTTTTTTTTTTCCTTTGTTTCCCTTTTTTCTTTTCTTTTCTTTCTTTTTTTTTTTTTTTTTTTTTTTTAACAGGATTAGTGCTGTAGTAGGCAGGGAGGGCAGACAGAGCTCGGGAAGATTAAAATGGCATTGTGCAGGGTGTGTGCAACTTCCTCCAGTAGGAGATTTTTTTTCTTAGCACCGGGACCTCAAGCGTGGCCCTCATTAACTCATTTCCCAGAGCTGGGACGTGGGGCTGGCTCACATTTGCTGCGAGCTGTAAGGCAACAAGGGACAACAGCCCCAACTGCAGAGCAGAAACACACAAGGAAGGTGCAGCTGCACTCAGATTCATGCTCCATAATCCCAGCTGATTTTCCCAGCGCCTGGCAAAAGCAGAACGGAGCAGGAATAAGGCATTTCCAGCTCAGAGCAGTCACACTTTCCACACACCCTTTATACTGGTGATAAGTGGAAGCAAACTGGGTTGTTAACTACCTTCATGCTTTCAGCAAAATGTTTGCATGAAATACCTTGCAGAAGGCTTAAGCTTCCCATCAACTCAGAACACAGTTCTCTGGCTGTGTTTTGCACAATGTAGAAACCATAAGGTACTTGAGGTAAATAACCTTAATTGTAGAAGGCAGTGAGCAGAGATCTTCCATAAAAAGCAGATGGATTTTTTTTCTCCCCACTCTAGACTCTGGGATATTACAAGGAAACATGTTTTCATCTTGTCTGTCTGTAAACAGCCTAAAAACAAAAGAAGATTCTCACAAACCCAAACTATGACTAACGAATCATATATACTATGCTACATTTTGCAAGGATACTCACTATTTTTAGGCTTTCATTAGGATGAGGCAATTCTCCATTTTCAGTCCTAGATCTGGCATGTTTATTAACATAATATATGACTTGTGGCAGTACATTAGCAGGAAGACAAACGCTTCATAGTCTCTTTGTGAATACTTCTTGGCAGGGAGAAGCGAAGAGATTTGTCTCTACAAATCCTTCAAGTGCTAAAGGCAGCCTTCCCAAACTCACAGGGCCCTGGCCCCGTGTGCCTCTTCCTAGAAAACACAGAGTCCAGAATACTGGAAATTACAATGACAGGTTAAGATGAGGCCAGTCACTTTGTTGGTTTCTATCCCCCTTTACTTCCTTGGAAATAAAGTCGTTAACAAATCCGTGCAGGGCCCTGCAAGACGTGATGTACCACGGGAGAGATGAGCATTAAAGCACTTTTATTAGTGCCTGAGGAAAAACCTCGAGCTGCTCAGATGGAAAGAGTCTGCAGACACAGCTAGTGCCCAGTCATCTTTGTGCCTGGCGTGGTCTAAGTGGAGCCTGAGGCCAGGAAAGATTTCAAACACACCTAGATTTAAGCTCCAGTGGTTTTCCTCACACACTGGAGTCAGTTCCCTGACCAGGACAGTGCCAGCTTAATTTCAGAGAGGTCATTCTGGGCAGAAAGCACTGGGCACTGTCAGTGTGGGGACAGGAATGGGCAAGGCTGCACCCATTGCTGACTCCAACCCTATTTTTTTTTTTAGTTCAGATCGATTTGCCCCCCACCATGCACATCTCCAGGGGGCTCCCAGGCCTCTACACAGCCGTACAGATGCATCTGCACTGGGGTGGCCTGGACCTGGAGACCAGCGGCTCCGAACACACCATAGATGGGATGAGATACTTCGCAGAGGTACTTGTGATGGGAGCAGGCTGGAGGGGGGGCACATTGCAAGCCTGGCACTTGGGAAATGGGATGGTGCAGCCCACAAAGGCTGCAGGAAGGGATGCAGAGGCAAGTGGGAGAAACAGGGCTCCTCTAAGTGCAGCTGGTCACTGCAATGCAAGGGCTGAGCCTGGTAGGGCAGAAGACTCTAAGAAAAACCATTCCAATAGCACTAATATCCTTCAAAACTGGAGTTATTCCTCCACATTCATCACAAACCTGTTAAACTACAGGTCTGTCTGGCTGTGCTGTGAGGCACAAGCAGCAGGAACTGGGATGGTGACTCTCCCATTGAGTCCTTTAAAGCACTGAGGAAGCCATTTATCACTTCTTGCTAAATGACCCTGTCCCTCTCCTGCCAGCTGCACATTGTCCACTACAACTCAGCTGACTACTCCAGCTTTGAAGAAGCCAAAGACAAACCAAATGGCCTGGCTGTGCTCGCCTTCCTGTATGTGGTAGGTTTGTTGCTCAGGCTGCTGAGCAAGGCTCATCTGTGATCCCTGGTTATTCTAAAATCACAGTCCAGACACAATTTCATGTGGATTTAGAAGTGGTGAAAAAGGATCCTCATAGTTCACTATTCTACCCAAGATCTATGTGTACGTACCTCACCATGCCTAGGATTGGCCAGTTTATCAAGAGATCCACGATAGTGTTTGTTCTCTTTGTCTCCCAGTTCATCAATTAGTCCCCTGAGCTGATTAGTAGTATAGAGGCAGGCAGGTCACTAACCTTTTGTTCAAGTTTCTATGCTGTGTTTAGGATGGGCACTTCGAGAATACCTACTACAGCGAGTTCATTTCCAAACTGGCAAAAATCAGGTTTGCAGGTAAGGCTTGGGAATGCCTTTTCTCCATCCTTGATATTCTCAAAACCCGTGCACGTTTACTGGGTCTGGGGACAGACATTTTGCTGCTGTTTTGCTTGCAGTTACATGGCCGAGCATCCTCAGCCGTGCACAACTTCACACCTTCAAAGGTCCCTTCCCACCCAGGCTATTCTATGATAGTGATTTGCCAACCTCAGCTCTAACACCTCTCTCCCTTTTATCTTCACTCCCCATTAATGGTTAATATTGCCTCTTTGTTTCCTTTTGAGGTCAATCAACAAGGCTCGTTTCTCTGGATGTCCAAGCCATGCTGCCAGAAGACCTCTCACACTTCTACAGGTACCAGGGCTCACTGACCACCCCGCCTTGCTCTGAGAGTGTCATCTGGACCATCTTTCATTCTCCCATTGTCCTGTCCCACACACAGGTAAGCAATAGCTGTTTACCAGACAGAGCAGCTTCTCTTTCCTCCACAGCCTTCCTTGTGCTTCACCTTTCCATCCTCCAGTGATTTTTGGGAACAGAGGATCTAACAGGGCATTTCTCACACACAGCTTTTGGGATAGACTCCTGGGGAAGTGGAATTACAGGTGACTGCAACGGCACAGGGATGCTACAGCACAGCAAGGGCCAGTTTTTGTATGGCAGCAGTTTACCTGAGGTCTGATGAGCAAGAAAAAAGCTCAATTAATCTCAACCATCCCGAAGCATTATAAAAAGGAAGAGACCAGTCAGAACCAGCAAGGCAAAAACTGCTGCAAGAGAGTCCAACCCCCCATCCCCACAAACAACAGAAGAGCCATTTATAATGTTAAAATAATTACAGAATAATTGGCACATTTTTAGAAAGAGTATTTCAGGTTTTTTCTTGTCTCCACTTACGTGGTTGGGATGGTTTCAGGAGTGTGGCTGTGTGACAGGAGAGGGTTTGTCCAGGCTCCAGCAGAGGCATCACAGAGGCCATGGTGGGGTGCACAGGAGCACTGGGCAGTCACCCCACTTGTCCCAGCAGCCAAGTACTGTCACATGGCAGGATCCTCTTCTCTCCTCTCTGCCTGCCTCGTCAGGACAAAGGCTTTAGCACGAAAAAGTAACACAAGTAAAATAAACTTACTGTTGAGCCTTGCAGAGTGATTCATCTTCCTTAATAAAAGAGAAGCATCAGAAACATTTTTTTTTTTTCCTCGGAGAAGAACAAGATAAAGTGGAGGCTACAGTAGTGGAGGAGCACAGCGTGTTCTCATTTGAAAGAGAAATACTCTCTCTGGCAGGGGGAAGGCTAGCAGGCACTTGTGAGAAAACAGCACGCTACAGGATAGCGGCAAAATCTCCATCCACGCATATCATCAGGCAGATGTTAAAAACTGCCTTCAGGCAAAATATCTTTATCATGAATTAGCTGATAAGAGCCCTTGTGTTCTGCTCCTTTCCCTGCTAATACTCAGCAAGGGACCCTGTGGGCTCGTCTATAACAAATTGCTGGGTTTAATCCCGAGCTGCAGGATCTGCACTGCAGTTCTGGGCAAAGCTGTTGTTCCCCTTATAAGGGGAATGTATATATGTTGTTCTGCATAATAAGCCTGCGTCGCTCACAGATCAACCTCCTGGAGAACACCTTGCTGGACTGGCAAAACAGGACGCTCCGCAACGACTACCGGCACGCTCAGCCCCTCAACGGGCGGGTGGTGGAGTCCTCCTTCCCACCAAAACCCACCCCAGGTAAGGGCAGGCAGCAGTGAGGACCCAAGATTTCCCCTGGGAAGGGCTAGAAACTTATGTGGAAGGAGTTATGGCCAAGTCACTCAAGGTAGGCATGGTGGGGATCACCTTTCCCAGGAGCAGCAGGTAGAGATGGCCCCTGTGCCTCTTTGTCCCCTGCCAACACAGCTTGCAGGAGACATGGTGCAGTGGTGGCTGTAGGTTGTGTGCCAGCCCCTTGTTTTGACTGCGGCGGTGTCACACAGCTCTCCAGGATAAGTGGCACCACCTGGCACCACACAAGAATACTAGGTTCAGGTGTGTCTGCATCCATGGTGGTGAGATACACTCACCATTGTAGAAAGACCTCCAGGATGGATCAGCCAGGCACCATATGGAGGTAAAACACTGCATTTTAAAACAAAGGTTTTCCCCAAACCTTCTACAAACTAGAAAGCAGAAAATCTACCGTGTGCAGGTCCTGGCCTTCCATAAATTCAGCTGTCTGATTGCTTTAGAACAGTGCCATCCAGAAGAATTCAGCCTCAGACTGGAACAAATCCAGATGCAGCTCCAAGACATGAAGAGAGAGTTGCTGAACGGAGTGAGCCACGCAGGTAAGAAACACACCTCTGTTCTTGAGTCCAAGGATGAAGAGCCCATGTCCTGCTGTCCTTGATGGCCTAAACCATTAACGGTTTGGTACTGATACGTGCAGGTAGGATTTTGTCCCGTATCTAGGCCTGCTGATGGAATTTCTTCAGCTGCAGCATTATTTTAAGCTACCTCTGATCTAGCTACGTTCACAGCAACTGCAGCTTTCTCCTGCAATGTGTAAGCACATTTTTACAAACAGGGAGGGATTTAAGCTCATGGTTGCCCTAGGATAAAGAATCATTGTCTCTATTTTACTCAAGAGGAAGGGGGGGGAAAGTGATTTTCCCAAACAGTTGGGTGAGGGAACTAAGTTTTTCATCATTTTAAGCCCCTTCCCTGTTGGTGTGACACATGCCAATAACTGGGGCTCAAGACAGTCAGGACTGCCACAGCCCTGCCAGATCCTGTGGGTGTATCCTTCAGAATTTGGGCTGATTCGTAAGCGCAGAAGGAAGTGTAACAGCTGGCTTTTTGGTTATTTCAGGTATTAAATCCAGCACTTTTCCAGCTTTCTACTTCCCTGTGGAAAACATTGAGAGTTTTGTGGAGGTTCATCCCCTCCATGATATGTCTCTCCAAGCCTTCACCTTATGTTTCTGGACAAAAACCCAGCACTCTGGCAGTCAGACTGTTCTTTCCTACTCCACGCAGGAGAGGGATAATGAGCTGGTGGTGACTGTGGGCACAGACGTGGGACTGTGGATAGGAGGCCATTTCATCAGCTTCCCCCTGTACCACAAGGCACAAGATTGGCTGCACTACTGCGTGGCATGGGCCTCCCAGTCTGGAATGGTGAATTTATGGCTCAACGGAGCAGCTGGTAAAGCAAAGAGTATCCAAAAGGGGTATGTGAGCCAGGCTGGAGGGACGCTTGTCCTTGGGAAAGACAGAGACACTCTTCTTGGGACATTCTCCAATGGTTTTGCAGGATGGATGACTCGGGTGAACCTGTGGAGCCAAGTTCTCAGTCCTGCAGATGTTCGGGCACTCGCACTGTGCAAACCAGGGCAACTGAAGGGAGATATCATAGCATGGGGAGAAACCTCCATGACCCTCTTGGGAGGGGTGGTTCTGGAGTCTGACAGCAGCTGCCAGTGACCTCAACTTTTTTTATTATTTTTTAATTTTTTTTTTAATTATTATTATTTTTTTTAAGGCAGCAGAAGAATCCAAACTGCTCGTTGGGGAAGCTGGGGAAAACTTAGATTCTTTGCTTGTTCCCTTCTGAGCATAGAAACTGCTTTTTTTTCCAACACGTGTACATCACAAGTGTGTGGGCATGTATAAAACTCATCTTGTAATGCTGAAGTAAATCATGTGAAGGGCTATCTCCACCACCAATAAAATCCATGCTGGGCTGCTACACAATTCTGCTTTTTTTCAAAATGGAGGGCAGCAGTCCCACATAACAATTAATTACATTTAATTTCCCCATGTTAAATTATGCCATGATTAACCCCAAAACTCACTAAACTAATAAATACTTTAAGAAATCCTTGTTTTTTATCAGTGTGCACTTTACTTTCTTCTGAGAGTCAGCACTGGATCTTCAGACTCCGAGTTTTTCCAAACCAAATTAGCCTTCAGGTGGAATGGTACCCGTAGGGGAAACAACCAGAAACCAGTAGAAGCTCTAAACCATCTGAAGACATTTTCAAGTTGTTTAAAGCATCTGTGAGCGGAGTTATTTCAAAAACTAAATTTAAACAACTTAATGTGAGAAGCTGAAGACAAATTTGGACACGTTTGCAAATACAGGCTCCAACCTGTGGCCCACTGCACAGGAATCAACCTGAGTTTGACTCCTGCAATGCAGCAGGGAGGTTCCTACTGGGTTCAATACCACAGTATCTCTAGGGGATGAACGAGCTCCAGCTGGGTCATGTGTACAGAGCAGAGATATGGGAGTTATTAAAGGATTAAGAGAGGGACTGTTGCTCTTTGGCAACTGAAACGTAAACCCTAGGGAGTGAAATGAGCTAAATAACTCAAAGACTAGAGTACCTCTGAAACAAATGGGTATAAATTGGCAATGAATAAACATCAGCCAGATGGATGACTCCTAACCTCAAGGGTAAGGCTTTGGAAGGACTCATCAGCAACAGCTGAGGGCTAGGTTTGATCTGAAGGAGAGAGCTGGGTGAGCAGGGAGGGGGTGAGGTTGTAGTGATGTGCATTTCCAGTTTAGCAGCCCTTTGAAGCACACAAAGGAAGGACAGGAGGTGACAGGATAAATGCCACTATCAACCCATCTAACCAAGTACCTCAGAACAAATGACTCTCTCCACCCCAGAGCACCAAAGGCCTGGCATCGCTTATGCTGGACCCTCAAACACGTGAATGGCAGTGCCTCAGAGGAACAGAGTGCACTCCTTGCACATGGCTGACAAAAACTCAGCCCAAGTGCTGGCTTGTGCCACTGAGCTGGGTCACAGCTCAACGCTGGAGAATTCTTTCTTTCCTGCCTGCCCGCCTGGGACAGTGTGGAAGTCCTTAAGCTCTTCTTTGTCGTCCTGAATCTCCACCTTGTTCCTTTTCGCCATGATCCTGTTGATTTCCATGAAGGTTTTGTTCTTTGTTTCAGGAACAATAAAGAATATGTAAACTATAGTGGCGAGGCAGATGGCACAGAAGATGAGGAAGCTGTAGGGCCCCAGTCCAGCCTAGGGGCAACAAAAGAAGACAGAGCAGGGATCAGAGGAATACTCCAGTTGCATACATTACATGATTTGGACATGCTGAACCCTGCACTAGCTATAAAAAAAGCAGCCACAGTGATGTGAACATATCTTCAGTTGAACAACTAGAAGTCAGGGGTGGTTCTAGATTCTGTCTTCTCATACCACCACCATGGATTTCTGGAGCCACCATGGATTTGGGCATTTACAGCTCTCAGGATGAAAAAGGCTCTCTGTAAGAACATAGGGGTGAAGATACTAATTTTAAGCCAAAGTCTTGCCCTGTCATGTGATTACATCTTACCTCCATGTAGAGGAACACAAGCCCCACGGTGAAGTTGCATATCCAGTGCACAGACCCACCCACCATGAAGGCAGCAGGCCGGGATGACTGCAGGAACATCTCGGTGATCATCACAAAGGGAATTGGACCTGGAAGGTAGTTGCATATTCAGAAATCCCAAAGGCAATTCCCCCACTCTGAATTCCTAGATTACACTGTTCATCTCAGTGGCAGGCAATGGTTTCTATACTGCTAGTGTTTAGAAATACCCAATAAATCAAATAAGGGATTAAATAAATAAAAGCCATGGCAACTAAATGTCTATCCTATGCTCACACACAGTAATCAACCTCTTTTCTCCTATGGCTGCACCTTAACCATGAACCCCTCTCCTGCACAAATTGTAAAATAAGGTTGACAAACACGAACTGTCTCTGCAGAGAGCACCCTGTGAGCAGCAACGAAGCAGGTGATTGCTTCTTAAAAAATAAAGAAAAACAGAGAAACACCCCAAACACGTGCAGGTGTTGGAGAAATGAGTGGTGGGACAAACCCCCAGGCCCCTGCCCTGCACTGCCGCCCCGTGGCATCGTTAAGCAGAATCAGACTGTCTTCTCATTAATGGGGTGAGGCCACAGGTGCACCAATCCAGCAATCTGTCCTCCAGCCATCTCCCTGCCCCCAGTGCTTCACTCTGCCTGATGGCACAAATGGAAAAGGAAATGTTGTGTGTAACTCCATCTGCCAGAGAAACCTCTACAGGGGTTTCAAAACTGCATTGCTGCATCCAGCAAGGGTCTGGCAGGGCTTTCCAAGCCAGACAGACAACTCTACCACGCTAAGAAGCTGAGTCAGGACAAAGCCTTTCCAATATCCACGTCTATCTGCACCTCTCCTTTCTGCCAAGTGACCTGCAGGGCCACGCGTATAATTTGAGCCACTTCTAATTTGATTCATTGCCTGTAGGTCTGAGCACACAACTCCTATGCCCAGCTGGGAGGGCTCACTATCTCAGCGCATTTTTGCTCCAGATATTGCTGGGGGACTCTCAGGCACAAGCAGGATTGTGCCTTTTGCTTTTCCTTTTCAAAGGCAGATGCTCCCCTGCCTCACGGACACAGCCAGCAAATCACCAGAACATAAACTTAGCTGACAATCCATGAGCTGCACAGGCACACCGTGAAAAATTAGATCTCCTTGGACTAGCTCCACGAAGATTTTCATTTGAAATTCAGGATAACACCTGGCTTTACCCAGCTTGTGGATGGGCCTGGAGTAGACTGTCCATACTTACTGGCTCCAATGGCGTGTCCGATGATGTAAGCAATGACACACACTATGCTGAGGTAAGACATCCATGAGACGGTGGTCTGTGAAGAGTTTAATTGTAGGTTAGATGTGGTTCCTATCTAAACATCACCGACACATTAAAGACCCTATTTGTGGTAAGGTTTGAAGACATTCTGAAGCCAGTGTTGCCCATTGCCAGATATGTCCATACTTTGGCACAAAAAAAAAGAATCATAGCCTGGGTGTGATCCTTGCCTCCAACAAATGGATGCCATGGGTATTATAAGCATCATGTACTGGAAACAATATTCAGACAAGCAAGATCACAGAGTTTCCTGGGTTTACTTTAGGTAGATACACAAGTATGAAGACCTTTCACACTGTCACCTCCTCACCAAGGTGTAGAAGTAACTTCAAAATATACCAATGGCCTGTTCCCTGGAAGGTCCAGAAATTCACAGGTAGGATCACCCGAGCCATTCAACTACACACCTGGAGGTTGAGGGCCAACGTTAACACTGCACAGGAGACACAGCACAACCCAAAGCCAGCAAGGAGAAGGATTCTCCTCCCCAGGGACTCCACGATGAAAACCTGAAAGAGATAGAAGAGACAGATAGATCAGACACCTGGGGAACAGCACTTTTCCCAGCAACATTTTTTAAGGTAGTTCCTGGCTTTTAAGAAATTCAGTGGAATTTCCACCATCTACTGATGATGGAAATCACATAGGAACTGTGAAAAGCTGGATATAACACCGAGAGAATAGGCAGGCCATTCTTTGGGGAACTTTGGAAGCCCTGTATGGTAACACTGGACAGCAAAAGCAGGGCAGATCAGCCTGGAGACCAGAGACTGAAAACTTCTGAGGCATGTGAGAAATCAGCATGATTAATCATTTTAGTTAACAGAGCTGCTTTCAACCCAGGGCCACGGCGGGACATCTATTGTGCAAAGCAGCTCAGTGTATGTGTAAATAACATAATCTAATATAAACAGCGATGGACAGGGGAGACTGGACAAGCTACAACTCAAAGAGCCCTAATAGAAACTTACAGCAAGCAAAGTCATGACGACGTTGATGGCACCTATGGACACAGTGACATATTGAACATTGTTTGGATCCACGCCGGCCGACTGGAAGATTCTGTCCGCGTAGTAGAAGACCTGCAGCAAAACCACAGCTGTGTTTATATGGGGCCAAAGGCAGAGCACAGGATTCCCATTTTGGCTGCTTCTACATCCAGGAACTGCTGCACAGAAGCCTGAGAACTGAATTCTTTCATTTTGGGAGACATTGGTGTTTGGATCCAGGCACCAGCACTCTGAAAGCATCCAAACTATCCCTAGCAGGGTCAGCCCCACCACAGTGTGATGCAGCACCAGTGTCCCTGTTGAAGAGGAACTCCTGTGTCTTATGTTCTAGCTCCTATGTCAGTGCTGCCCCACACCACCCACTCTGATGTCCCATCCTGTTATTACTCACCCCACTGGCCTTTCCCACTCACCGCATTAACCCCAGAGAGCTGCTGGCCCATCATCATGACAATGATGGAGATGAGCTGCCATCGCAAGCCTCTGAAGGTGCACAGGCTGAGTACAGAAAACTGTCCTTCTTCCTTTTCTGACCGGTCTTCTTGGCGCATTTCTTCTATCTCATCATCCACGTCATCCCAGCCCCTCAGCTTCTGCAGAGCTAGTTGGGAGAGGAAGGGGAGTTATGGACCCCAGAGACCAGGTCTACAGTGAGCTCTCCTGCTTCCAGTCGAGACAGAACAACAGGTAAGCCATGATCAGCAGAGCTTCCATGGCGGGAAGTCAGGGATTCACATCACGCACAGAAAAGAGCAATGTCTCAGGAATTTCATCCACCAGCAACATGTCAATGAAGAATTTCACACTCACTTCACGGCTGGCTCCTGTCAGTCAGGTCTGACAGGCAGATTATCCCATTCCACCTCCCCTTTCATTAAAGGATGATACTCTACCTTGTCGTGCTTGCTCTTCATTGCCCTTTTGTATCAGCAGGTATCTGGGACTCTCAGGGAAAAAGGGCAATATAAGGAGCTGGATTAGCGATGGGATCCCAGTGAGCCCCAGCAGAATGGGCCAGCCTGCAAAAAGTGAGACAAGAGGACAACTGGGAGAAATCTTTCCCCAGTGGAGCCCACAGACAAGTCCTGAGTCAGGGCTTTACCTTCGGCAGTCCCAAGGATGCTGTCGAGACCAAAGATCTGAGCTACAAGGATCCCAATGGTGATGAAGAGCTGGGGTACTACTCCAATAGCACCTCTCAGATTTTTGGGGGATATTTCTCCAAGGAACATGGGAACCACATTGGAAGCCAGACCTAGCAGTTAGAGAACAAAGTTAGACATGCAGCTGCCTGAAGTCATACACTCAGCAACTTCACTAAGATTCTTTTTTCCCCCCTCACGTGAGACCAAAGAAAAGAAATCAGTATCCAAACATGTGAGGGTGGAGGGATATGACTTCTTGCTGGCTTTTAGGAATTCTCTACTCCTTTAATTGCTCAGTAACAATTTGCAGAGAGCTTTGCTCGTTTGAGATCTCGCAGGTAGCGTGTTGAAATAGGTGTTTCTACTTTAATAGGACACTATAAGGACACAAGTTATTTTGAGGACCATCACGTGGTTACCCACAATAACCCCAGAGAGCTGCCATCTCCAGTGCCTACACTGTAAATCTTAGCACGCAAAACCCAAACTCCTGGGGTCAAATGACCACCTGAGACACTGAGCTTACATTTCTAAAGTTCCCAGCCTTCAGGAGCTGGCTGCCTTGGCTCAGCAGCCTCCCTACCCAGACACGATGGCCACAGTTCAAGTGAGGTCAAGCTGTGAAGCAAGTCAGGACAGCCAGTCCAGATTCCTTTATCAGTTATAAATAACTGGAAAGAGGGATCACACTTAACAGGTCCCTTAGTACTTATTCAGAGAACCAGGGCTAAGAGGAGCTGCCAGGCTTAGGAGAATCAAAAGCCAAAGCAGACCCATTGGAGCAGATAATTTCCCTGCCTTAGCTCACCAATTGCAACTGCTGCACGTTACAGACCAGGTTGTTTTCCTATGTCGGTTTCTTGTTTTCTCTTTTTATCTTTACAGGATATCCCAACTCACTAACAAACCACAGAGAATGGCAGTCTCGCCAGCCCAAAGCCAATTAATTGAGCCTAAATGCTGTTAGGACCCTTATCAACCTGCTCTGGGCACACTCAGCACAGTACTGCCACGCTGGGTTCCTCTTTATTCCATATTACTGTGGCTCTAATACAGCTGCTTATACCAGCGACCCACACACACCTTCTCCTTGCCTTCCCCCTGCCTTTGCTGTAAATCCAGTGAATCTGAACCCTTTGCTCTCACTTTTAACATTTCTTTTCTCCTTCAGGAAGTACAGGCAGCTCCAGAACTGGATTATTGGATCTGGCATTGTCTCCAATGACTTGGACTTAAAAGGATTATTCTGTTTCTGATTATGTTAAAAAAAAAATAAGGCAGGCTATCTGCTTTAAGATATCTGGGAAAACAGATTATCATCACCAGGTTTTCTGGCTGTTGGAGCCCCAGTGCCGAGCAGATGCTTATTACAGAGGATAGCTGCATCTACAGACACACATCTCCTCTGTACATCTTAATTTGCAGTCTCACTGCCATTGTTTACTACTTTAATAGCTCTGCAACATGGAAATGACAACTGTTATTCCAGCAAATACAGCATTGTTATGCAGACGTATGGCTAAAATGCGCTACCTGTAAAACCATCTGCTGTGAGAATTAAAAAAAAAAACCTTTACATAGCTACGTATACATTTATTGCTCACCCAACCTCTCACTTACCAGCATATATTCCCATGATAACACGTGAAACGATGATTACTTCAAAGGTTTTTGCTAGCTCTGAGGTTCCCATAAGGATTGCAGCAGTAATGGAGAAGAGGTTATTTATCAGCAAAGTGCCCTTTCTGCAAAGTAATAGAGAAGGAGACAGATTTATTTTTTCTAAGGCCCCAGGAGCAGTTAGATCCCCTCTGTGTTACGCCGCCCAAGACTCAAACAAATCACCACCCCAATGACTAATCAAAGAGAAAATGGCGATTATCCCATTTGTTTCTTGCAGGGAACGAAGGCTTCAAGAAAGAGCTGAAGTGTCTCAGGAAACCCAGTCAGGGCCCAATCTCAGATCCTGGTCCAGGACTTTCGTCGTTGCTCTCTGCCTGGCCCCGTGCCCAGCGTACGGCCTGGCCCTGGCTGTACTAAAACCATACAAGTTCTTCTGCACATGGGAGACCACACGTATTGCTGAGCCCAGCAACTAATCACCAGCCCATCTGCCTCACAACAAGGTGTGTGTGACAGTCACGCTCCCAACGGGCTCATCAAGCTGGAGTGACCAGTGAGGCAAGTCTTATCTGAACCCAGTAAACTGCTGGTGAAGGATGTTAACCACCGCTGTCACGTACCGGCCACAATTGTTCACCATAGGCCACACCATGAGGGACCCAAACAAGCCACCCAGAGGGAACATGGACACAGTAAGGGACCAGAGGAACGTCTGGAAGCCACTGTCCATAGGCGTTCCAGTCCTGTTGAAGTAGGTTTGGTTGTAGAAGTCTTGCATGTACTGGAAAGAAACACAGGGCATGTTTAGCACCGTAAGTAAAAATTTCACGCTGTAAAAGCTAGTTAACAACAAATGCCATAAAGCTTTACACACATCTTGATAAAAACCAGAATGGCTGAGTTGTAAAATGAGCGCAAGAGAGGGGTGGAGAAGCCTGGAGAAGATAACAGTTCCCACAAGTTATCCTGCCTCATAAGATTTGCCTGGTTTCCAGAAGGGAAGGCATTCCTCATGCCCCAGCCCTGTCAGGGGGGAAAATGTCCAAACGAAGAGCTTAATCCCCTCCTCTCCCTTCCTGGGGACCCGCTTCTCACTGGGTGCCCAGTAACTCAAAGCATGGAGGAGTAGGAGCATCTGCCCACCCATAACCTGCTGTCACATTCCTGCCTTGCTTTGTTTGTAAACCTGCTCCCAGGGCATGGTCCGCTCCACAGTCCAACCTACCGGGGCCGGGGAATTGATCACTGACACGTTGTACCCATACTGGAAAGAAGATCCAAAGGCAGATATCAGCGCCACCAGCGCGAGCAAAAGTGTCATTTTCTGCAGAGGGCAAAGAAAACACACAAGCACCACCTTAGAAACAGGTTTAGCTTTTCGGCGTAAACGGCATTCAGTAAAAATAATGAAACACCCTAAGACTTTCCTTCTGTGCTTTGCACCTCGTGGTACTCTATAAAGAAAGCCCAATGGGTTGTTTTCATTATAAGTCATTTTGTTCTGCTTGATTTGCACATAGTCATTACAATAATTCATTCTACTCTTTCCTAGTATTGATGGACCATTTGGATGATGAATAATTTTTAAGTTATCCTGCATAAAATACCACCCCGCAGGGAAAAAGTTGTATGCAATTATTCTTTTTTTCCAACGTGTAAATTGGTTAGTGAAATAACACAGGATATTGGCACAGGAAAGCTTTAAAAAGAAAGGATTTTGCATGAAGTGGCAAAATCCCTTTCCTGCTCATTTGTTCTGCTTTCACAGGCTGGCTTGCTCTGCCTCCCACGTTTCAGGATCAAGCCGTTTATGGATCTAATCCGATTGCCATTGAAGCCAATTAGAACTTATCCAAGTAGCTCAGCAAGGGCTTGGTTGTGGGCTGTGAGAGCAGCACTCTGCAGTCAAACAGAAGGGAGAAATTGCCATCTGGAGTCATGTCAAACACCAGCCACCTTTGTGGGCACACAGTCCTCAGGGTTAGAAGCCACACGCTTTTTGTCACAATTTAGCTGTTATTCAGTCCTCAGGCTGGCCCTACTGCGTTGACTGAGCTGTTTTGGTGACTTTTTTGGTGGTGTTTGGGGTTTATTTTAATAGCTCATAATATATCTCATTGCTGCTATGTCAATAAAGTAATTTTTCATTCAGACACATGTAATTTTCTGTCAACATCATTAGCCTTGATGTCTGCAAGGCTTTATGTCCCAACGCTCAACTCAGGTCTGACATGAAGGATCTGTCATCTCCCAAATTGAACGTTTGTCCAAACAGCTGCTGGTACTCCTCATATTCCTTATATTCCTGAGCAGTTCTAGCAGCTCACCTCCAGAGATCTGCAGAGTTTAAGGCACTACAGATCAAAATTCAATTCAGAGTAAGGACCAAGAGGAAGCTGAAGCTTCCAGCTACGTTTTTCCAGGAGCAGACTGTTGACATTCTCACGCTGGTGATGAAAAGCAGGCTGCCTTGCTCTCATTAAACAAATCCCAGGAGCTCAAAAGAGCCACTGGTATTAATTATTCACATTCAGCACTTTTAGGAAAACCTCTGGCATACACGAGCGTTGCGTTGTGCAAGATTCCATGAAAAATGCTGCTGTGAAAGGCAGACCCAAGCAGAAGCATCTGCAGCTAGAACGGATCAGAATGTAGGAAAGAAAAACTGTCACCCAGAAGGGTAAAGTCACCCAGAAGTTATGTGGTAGGGTCAGCTGCAGACAAAGAGAGAAAATGGGGAGACTCAGTGCAAAACTACACTGCAGACAAACACAAACTGGGTTTAAGAACATGGGCATCTCTGCTCCCCCTGTGAGATCAGTTCTAGATGCATTAGCCTAAAGGATCTTGGTCTTCTCCTCCCACTCCAAGTACCTGCAGATCTCAGATAGCTTGCTCTGCATCTCCGTGGGAGGCTGAAGTTGGAAGCACAGAGTCTGGAGTACTTACCCCCTTTGAATCCTCATCGGAGTCAGAGCTCTCCCGCTTCTCTCCTTTCAACTTCATCTTGGTGTTTGAAGCGCAGATGCTGAGTCCAGGCTTTTATAGCCAAAACAGACAACGCAGGGGATGGAAACGCCCTGCACAGAAAACCCCCCTCTGGGACTTCAGAAAACATCCAATCAACAACAAGCTCTATCAGCCAACCTTGTTGTCTGATCATTCCCCTTCTCTGCGTGGCTCCTGCGTGTCTTCTCTTTCTTGTTCAAGTCCGTCGCCGCTGGGTCAGATCATCTCCTGCCAGATCTGGACTCAAACCAGAGGTGCTGCCCAGCTACAGGGGAAACGGGCTCATGTCTCCCACTAGAAGGGGCAGATTTGTCACAAAATCTGCTGAAGGAGCTGTTTTCCCCCAGCTGTAGGTAGATGGACAAGTCTGTAGCAATAGAGCCGCTGCTCCTGCAGCTCATGGGCAGCTGGGGACGGTGCAGCTGAAGAGGCTGCCCAGCAACTGCTGCTTTCTGGTGAAAATGGAGCCTTCTGTGGGAGTATCCTCAGCAACAGAGAGCATGTTTGCCGTGGCCACAGCCATAAAACTGAGCTGCATTAACCCTCCTGCAGCCACAAACTGCCTCTCTGCCTTTGGGCCAAAATGCTGCTCCTTGTCCTACCCTGCACGGAGCAGTTTGCTCAGGGAACAGGTTCATCCTCTCAGATTTGTTGTTTTGACAGGGCACAGAACACGCTGTTTTGACACCAAAGCATGTTAATTCCTTTCTCTCTACAGGCAAGGGATGCCACGTGTTTCTGGCTGATTATTAACCTCCCACACTAGGAGACTACTTTGAACGGTACAGGAGTTGGTTAATAGTCAACTACGATTCCTAGAGAAATGCAAAGTTCAAAGATACCTCCAGCAACCGAAGAAACGTGAACCGAACCTTGCTATTTGTCCCTCTGCCTTTAACAGCCAGTTTAAAATAAATGCATCCTCTTGAGCAATGGGAGTTATTCACGTGTCTTCCATGCATTCCCTGCATGATTGCAGCCTCCCTTCCTGCAGGTGAAAGCATTCTGCTCTAAAAATAGGAAGGGGAACAGAGCCCTTTTGCTTTCAGGGCAGTGGAACTCAGTCCCAAGACTTCTTGTTATCTTTTATTGCATTGGTTATAAGTTAACATCCTTAAGGATGCTGTTTGCTAGGACATCCTGGCAGTGGATCACACTTCAAGAACACTCCCCCCTCTTAGTCCCACCTATCACACAGTGCCTTAACTAAAGACAGGGGGAAAAATACTCATTTCACCCATAACTTGTGTTTCTGTACCTTCCTCTGCGCTCCCATTGAGAGGCTGTAGCCAGCTGGGGCTGACCCAGACACTCTCAGCTTGCTCAGCTTCCCCCATCCTGCCTTCAAATGTTGCTCAAAGCGCCCCAAAACAAACGGGACAGGTCGTAGCTCACCCACCAACTGGTTTAGTTCTCACTTTCACAGATCTTTGGCCAGAAGAGCGAAAATGGAGAGTGAGCCATTATGTCCCAGGAGTGGAGAAGCTGCAAGAAGGATAAACCTCTTTAATGAAATTCCTGTTCTTTATAGACAGCATCATTCTTCTGGAGCTCTTGGCAGAACGACACCCCCTCTGACACTAAGTAACCATAAGAAAGGAGAATTCTCTATCATGGTCTTTAAACCCCTTCCCTGAACTTGAAGGGATAATCTTGATACGTACAGAAATCAAACAGGACATGTATGTTTGCCATCAGAAATCCTTCACCAGAGTAAATATTTGCTTATGGCAGCAGAACACTCTGAATATTTGCTAATCACAGCAAGAATCCAGTAACAACGTTTGTAAGGTAGTAATTGGCACTGGGGTGATCTTGGAGGAGATCAATGAAGGGAGACAGGAAGGTGAATGAACACCTTGGACTTTCAAAGCAATTGCAGGGCTGTAATTTCTTCACCAGCTGAGAACCTGTTGGACTTGGGCAAAGAACAGAGCTGCACCAGTAACAAGTAGAGAGAGCTGATTTTACAGACATTTTACAAGTACATTTTCAATTTCAGCTACAGCCCATATGAAGCTTCTCACATCAGCTCTTCACCCCAGAGCACATTTGTCTGAAGACATTAACTCAGCTCTGCATCTTTTCTCCTCTGCCTTTGTCCACCACATGATAAGAGCTCCCATGCACATACACAGGGAACTACTTACACTCAGCCCAATTGTCTGTGCTCAAAGTTGGATCCTAAAAAACCCTGATATCTTTGGCAAAGATGATAGTTAAGAGGGGAGGCTTAGTTTCCAGGAAAGTAAGTCTGCTGGAGAACATTACCAGTGAGCTACAGCAAAGTGGTGGGTACATGAGGAGCTGGCAGCCAGCCATGCTGCAGGGATGCTGATTGCAATGCTGAGATACGGAGACTTCTTAGGAGACACCCCACAGTTTATGTCTGAGTACGACATTAGCAGCCTTTTCACCTGCATTTTGGGAAGGAATTGCATATTCTGTCAAGGCTAATTAAATACTATATGCAGTCCTGAGCTACAACTGGGGCCTCAAGGTCAAACAATAGTTTAAGTAACAAACGATTTGCCTGCAAATAAGTCATGTACAGATACTGCTTTATCAGCTGCATAAATCGCTTCCAGCCAATTTAGCACGAGATAGATATGACAGCCTGATCCCTAGCAATAGGAAAGGGGGCTGGGTAAATAAGTACACTCTGTAGGGACACAGCAGCAGACATGAAGCTCTGGAACTGAGAGGTGAGCGAGACCCTATTTTTGTTGCACAAAGGCAATGCCAGGTAGCATCCTGCCAACCTTCTTCCTTTTCTGCTGCTGCCCTCGAAGACCATCTCAGAAGAGCCTCAGCCACACAGAGGCATCCCCAAAATAAAAACAAAGGAGCAGACAGATCTGTAGACTTACCATACCACAATGTGATCAGTTGGCCTGGGAACTGCGTTGTCCTTTCTCTATTGGCAGGGCTGTGTGACCCAAAGATGTTTCAGAAAGGGTTGGAATGCTTGGGTATTAAATCCCCATCTGTACTTTGTTCAGCAGAAGCACCTGACTATCAAAATACCCACGCTGCCCTCTTGGTCCTTAGTGGGTTCATTTCTCTATCCAGGACAGAAATTCTGACTGTGCCAACCAAGATCTGCCTGTTACCAGCTCACCCCACCCTGCATTCATTTCTGCAGTTCCATCTAGGCTTGCCCAGACTACAAGACACACAGAATTCAGTGCAGCACAACAGAAATCCCCACGGCTTCTGAGCAGCAGGAGAGACTTGCATTATGCAACCTCAAGTCTTATAAACATTAGGTTTGGCAGCTTTAGAGTACTCTGGTGTCACCTCTGTAACTGGTCTTCCTGATGAAAAGAGAAGATAGTAGTGGCACAACCAGAAATTACTTTTCTAAGATGCTCCCCTGCGTTAGCAACAAGATTTATCCTTTTCTTGCAAATAGATGGTTCTTTAAACACGTAACTTCTAGGTTTTAAAGTAAAACTGCCACCATCCAAATTCTCCTGTACTACAGAACCTTGGTTCACTCCTAGAGCCAGGGATCCTCTTGCACATTAGACTCAAGTCTTGGGAAGAAGATAAAAAGCAGGGGTAAAAAAGAATTGTGAATAGGATTTTGCAACGACCAAATCAGTATCACCAGTGCTGGTAAGCAGTGTGACAGCACTGACAGGATGTACAGGTGTATACAGGTGATGTTTTTCTCAATGACTTGTCATGCAGTCAGAAGGCAGAGTGCAAACACAAAGGACACACAGCAAGTCCCCCTGACAAGGCAACCAAAATACTGTGAGGAGCCTTTGCTCACTTCTAACCCGGCAGAAGAAATTAGCTTCCCTCTGCTTGCTGCCCACAGCACCCAGACCCCTCTCCTCGCCCACCCAGATCAACCAGTGAATCTGAGCACGGCTGTAAAGCAGATACCCCAGCTGGGAAGCAGCCAGCAACCCTACTAACAGCCACTGTCACTACTAACAGACACTGTCACTCCGTTGTGAATCCAGCCACGGCCCAGCACCGCTGATTACACCGGGGGTAACGGGGTCTTGGCTGCTTCCAGCCAAGGGACGGCCAAAGTTTGAATCTATCCCAAGAAAAGTTCACTCACAGACTGGAAACACATGGCAACTCACAAAGCACTACTCAGTGCCAGCCTGCCCATGCCTCAGGGGTTTTTTTCCCCCATAATGACCTGAATTTTCTCTATCTGGGCACGTCCTGGGATGGCACCAGCTCTCCCCAACGTTAGTCCCACCCACCTTACAGTCTGGCCTCATCTGGAGAAAGTACAATTTGTAATCTCATAATTACAGAACTTCTGTAATCGCACACAGCCAAGAGCCACAGTCCATAAGGTCAGTGAGAGCCACACGCTCACCCCTCAGAGGTCCTTCCACAATTCGTGGCAATAGGTCAGTAAGAATGAACTATAATAACAGTGGTGAACAGGTTGCTCAAACTGATCAAAGGTTTACATTTCTATAGATATATAAAAAAAGAGGAACATATCTACAAATAGTAGAGAAGATTTGTCTTCCTGTACATGCCTTGGTCTTTACAGAAGACACAAAATAGACCTGAAGGAAGATCCTGCAACAGTTTCTCATCCAAGTTCTCCAACGGGCTGACCCACCACAACATGTTTGAACAACATCTTGGTAAAGAAACAAAACTTTATTTTGTAAAAGTTGGAGAAAAATGTTTAAAAAAACCAAGCGAGGAGCTGTAAATAAAGTAAAACACTATCTCCAAATAGCAAACAACACCCATTCCCTCCCCAGCTCTGATGTGACCCTCCCAAAGCAGGAGCAGACGGCAGCCTGTGCTGGAGCAGAGGACATCTGGAGTTCAGAGCACACGCCAGGCACCATCTTGCTGCTGGTGAGGGGTGTCCTTGCTGGAGGCTGGGGCAGTTACATCCAGCCATCCCTGAGCACCAAGGGGGTTCTGCAGAGTCCAGATTTCCCCAGGAGGCAGTAAGCACGCTGCCACCACAAACCCTGATGGCGACAACCCCCAACCACCAAGGAGGAGGACTAAACCATCAAGAGGAACCATCCATCACCACCACAAAACCAAGCACGTTTGCACACTATTGTCCACATTCAAGTGAAGAACAGGAGCCACCCCGGAGCTCCCTGGAAGACCTTGCACATAGGACAGGAATCCATGCCCAGGACAGTAGTCCTGTTGAGCAGTTACTAAAGTTTTCCTATCGCCATGATATTTGTTCACCCCAGAACTCACAACACATTTGCCTTGTCAGACAGAAAAGCAAAACCCCAAACAATTTTTCAGATTTATAGTGGAGGGAGAGGGGAAGGAGGGACGAAAACCAGGCAGTTGGAGTACGGCCAAACAGTATCTTCCAGAGGATCCTGAGCGAAGTCCAAGACCAGTCGCCGAGGAGGAGCGGGACCTCTTCTGCTTGCTCAGCCGCTCCAGCGGTGCTTTCCCCCAGGCTTTAGCTCCCTCTGTGGGACTCCAGGATGATCCTGCACCTGCTCAAAATGAAGCACAGTTAAAATCCAGGAGAGCCCCATCTTCCCAGTGCACCTGGTGTGCACAGGTTTGCCCTGAGCAAGGAGAACAGGCTTGCTGAAGCTCAAGTCGTGGGGACATCACGTTGCAGCAGCTGAAAACAGGCATGATGGACCCGTTCCTGAAGGACAGCCAGGTACCCCAACCTCAGCCACCTTCAGAAACAGTTAAAATCCTCCAGTCCATGCCTGACAGGAAAGAGTTCAGAGACATCTTCACAAACAAGGGGGCTGCAGGGAGAGCCACCTCCAGCACCTCCCCTGCACTCGAACTTCAGAGACTGAGGGGGACCTGCCAGGAGCAGCCAAGAGTTTCTGCACAACACCTCCCCTTTTATCCCACCGCCCTTGGCATTGAGCTTCAGCTTTAGGAACCGCAGGGACTTCTAAAAGAAGTTCTCTGCTGACTGTTTTTCTTTCCCTGCCCTTGCTGACGTGAAGATGGCCACAGACTTTCCGCTCGTACCAGCGCAGGTGCTCTTGCCAATAGCTGGCCTCCAGGAACCAGCAGGCTTCCCTGAACCCCTGCGAGCTGGAAACCTAATTCTGTCGAGCTGCACATTCCTCCAAAAAAACATTTTTCCGAGCTCTGTAATGGAAAAGGGCAAACTGAGAACAAGGAGTCTGTTTTGATTAGGGTTTTTTTGAGAGGGTGGTTGGTTTCTTTTTGTTTGTGGTGTCTTGTTTTCCTTTAAGCCAAGTTGGTGACAATTTTACTTCCTCTCTTCAGGGCTGGCGCAAAAAAAAGCTGAACACAGCACAATTCTTAAGTCTCAAAACGTAAGGGTTAGTGCCCTGCCTTTCTGCAAGAAGTTTTTAACGTAGCTCCTCTTTCCAAGCCACATGGGATTAACACGAGGTTGAGCCACCAAGGTTGCTAACTTGGCTTTTAGAAGTTTAAATCTCTTGAACCATCTACAATTCAAAGACTCCAGTGATGCTCAAGAGCTGAGCCCCTCCACAGCCCCACGGAATGGGTTAATGGGCTCCTGAGGACTCCACCTTCCCACACGTACACAGCCTGCATACAAGGAGGCTTAAATTTATTAATATAATAATACAGTTTATGTCAAGTCTTCAATTCAGGAAATAGCAGGACTCGCCTCTGCCTACGGTCCCATGAGACCACTGCATCATCTAACTGCTCTCCGTGCAGTTAACATGACTAAAATTAAACTAATAAGAGCAGCTTTTGAACAGCTGGGTGCCTGGAGCAGCACGAGCCCGACAGCTGCCCTCTCTCCCCAGGCAACTCATGAGGCTCCCGTTCTTTCTGCAAGAACTTGTTATACAAATTAAAAAGAATTGTCAATGGATTAAAAAAAAAAATAAAATCCTTTTTTGGAGGGGGCTTTGTGGTCTGTTAGGACAAGAAACAGATGTACCTGAGAGGTTTACTCAGAGACTGACCATACCCCATACCCAGTTTGCTTTCCAGGATGCTCAGCCCCTGCTGTGCCCCACGAGCTGGGCTGGCTCGCTGCCTTTCAGACTCAGCCCTTTTTACCAGCGTGTGCCCTGCAGGTTTTTACCTCCTTCAGCTGCACTTTGTTACTGGAGAGAGCGCTATCAATATCCACCTCACAGGCAGGAACCCCCCCAGCACCCCAACCGCTCTTAGATGGATTAAGCCTGCAACCATCACTGGGGGGGTCAAGCCCAAGGAAACAAGACACTTATACAACTAGACCCCTGCAAGGGCATCAGGGTCACCTGAAATGATGAAGAGCTGCTGTCAAGTTTTTGCTCCTACAGATTTTCTACATAAGCTTGGATGAATCACCGTCTGCTTTCTTAGGAAGACTGGCAGCAGGGACTGTGCTGCATTACGAGGAATACTTGAGGCACTAAAAACATCTGAACCGTGCAGTAGTGAAGAAACGTACGTGTGCGTGGTATTTTAGATCCAAAAGGAGTCACTAATTCCTCTTCTTCAGTTTTCACTGGTGTCCTGCCCTTGTGGGCCAGACAGCACTGCAGTCTAGTTCCTCATTTTACAGACTTGAGTAACATTCACCCCCCCAGCTCACAGGGACAGGGAGCACATCAGTTCTATAAATGGTTTCACCCCAAAGGAGTGTGACGAGCTGCTCCAGAGCCAGAGGGGGGGAACCCCCCACAGTGGCTGCAGAAACCTCCCTCTCTGTCAACTGCTGTCCCCCACCCCTCGCATCACACAGCCGGGCAGGAGGAAAGACTCACACGAGATCTTTACCAAGAAAGAAGAAATCAGCACTGAGGTGTAGGCAGCCCACCCTCAGGTGCTGGAAAGCAGGGGTTTTGTCCTCTCAGGGCCTGGCACGTCCCTGTCCTTGTGGGGCTCCGGGCGCTGCCAGTGGGTGTTTGATCTTCCCAAAGGCCAGTCCAACTCATCGTAGTGGCAGCAGCAGATGGAGGAGAACAGCCGAGTCCGGACCACCCGCGTGCAGAGGACAAACATAATGCAGTTGGCACCTCCTTGGAACGTGTTACCGATTCCCTGCAAGGGCAAGAAAGGAATTAACCAGTGCGTTCCTACGGGCATCTCCCCAGAAAACAGCAAACATTGTCTCACACCAGCTATTGTGCTGCCTTCTGACAGCAAATCATAGAATCAGAATTGCCCAGGCCGGAAGGGACCTCCAAGGGTCATCTAGTCCGACCCCCCTGCAGTCAGCAGGGACACCCCCAACTAGACCAGGTTGCCCAGGGCCTCGTCGAGCCTCTCCTTGAATATCTCCAGGGATGGGGCCTCAACCACCTCCCTGGGCAACCTGTTCCAGTGCTCCACCACCCTCACAGTGAAGAACCCTCTCCTAATCTCCAGTCTAAATCTGTTCCCCTCCAGCTTAAAGCCATTGCCCCTCGTCCTGTCACTACAGGCCTTTCTAAACAGGTTCTCCCCAGCCTTCCTGTAGGCTCCCTTCAGGTACTGGAAGGCTGCTATTAGGTCTCCCCGGAGCCTCCTCTTCCCACCTAAATGAGAAAAACAGATTGAGAAACATCAACCTTGCAGCCCAAACCAGACGGCTGCTGTAGGCTGCTGTTTCTACAGCCTGGTCTAGGAGAGGAGCAGGCTCAGACCAGACGGCTGCTGTAGGCTGCTGCTTCTACAGCCTGGTCTAGGAGAGGAGCAGGCTGAGCCCTGCAGAAGGACAGACACCCAACATCTCTGGTCTGAGCCTGCTTTGCCCAGGGCTCCCAGTGCAGTTATTTTCTGGAGCCACTAGATGTTGCTGAAACAGCTACTGCTGGGCGAGCATCCCAGACAGCACTGCCCTGCAGGGAGCAGTTCTTCCAATGAGCATTTCCTACCAGTACCTGCTGCATCCTGCCACAAAAAAAAAGTGATATTCAAAGCAACAAAGCCTTATCTCCCTCCCAGATCCTCCTTCCAATGCATCTCCTGGCGAATACTTACATGCAGGACAACCAGGACTGAATTTTGCACTGCAGGGGAGTTACAGAGGGTCAGAATGAATCGCACAGTGCTCCAGATGCGGAGGATGATAAAGATGACAGGGATGAGAATCAACTTCTTATCTGCTATGGAAGTCCGGGGTGGAAATGCAGGTGTTCTTGAGAGAATGGGGCGATACTCTGAGAGAGCGGCATGCTTCCGTGGAGGGTGGGAGGGAGGGAGACAAAAAATGTGAACAAAAAGCTACACACATTGGATATTTAGCTCCGGGGATTCTTTCCAAAGCAAACTACATTTCTGCATCTCGTGGGAAGTTATAGCAGGGACACAGCTACGAGCACCCATCTTCAGCCACATTCTGCCCTCGGTACCATAAACATTCCTGCTGAAGCCAAGGAGTGGCAAATAAATCCGACCCTTATCAGAGTCCCACTAAAGCTTTACATTAACAAACATCACTACGCACTTGCCAAGAAACCAGGTCATAACAACGTAAAAAAGAAAGAAGCGGTGCTCCACAAAATACTTTTGCTGGTCCAGTGACCTGGCCCCATGGCCGCTGGCTTTACCGCCTTGGAAATGTATGGTTTGGCCTTGGAGAAGCCTCCTGATGCACAGATACACACATGGGAAAAGTCTGGCTCGTCCTTCTCAAACTATTCAAACTTTTGGCCTTCACCACAGCCACAACCAACAGGTTCCACAAAGAATTTATGCTCAGGTGTGCCACTGCTGCCTGATTTCTGACCGCATACCGTCAGCAGTGGGCTGCCATGGATTCCATAGGGAAGCCATGGAGCCTCTCTATAGGAGCACATGTAGAAAAACCAATCAGGGATGTGTGCTCTGGATTAGGGTGGTTGGAGGTGCAAAGCCCATGAGACCTCCCTATGGTAGAAGCTACTGGATGCAGGCAGATTCCTGGGATGGGGAAGAGCAGGTGAACACAGAGCAGCTGCTGGGACACACAATGCTGAACACCAGGGTGTTAATGTGGGTGAAGAGATTAAATCTCAGGGTAGCTGACCTGCAGAAAACTATTCCTCCTACCATCAGGGCTACAGAGACTACACAACTGATGCCTGGTATTCTCCTTCACTCCAGTACCCCCAGTCCTGACACCCTACCTCCTCCAGAACAGAGCTGTGTGACAACACCGCAAGGTGCCCTGAGTCAAAGCCCACCGAGGGCTTTCAGCACAGCTTCCCACCCACTCCCACTCAGCCTTTTCCATTGGGAAAGCCCCTAGCACACACCCTGTGCCTGTCCCCCACAACAGCTACTCCCATAACATCTCAGACTGCTCAGGAGCCACTGCTGCAAAACCCAAACCCCTGACTCTTGCTCCTCCTCAGAAGGGGCAGACCTCCTGCCAGCAAAGCCTCCGTAAGCAGGCTGCCAGGCTTGGCAAAACCCCTAGAGATGAGGAGAGAGACTCTCCAGTCCAGAAGGCCCCATGTGCTGCTGCTCCAGCCCTTTCCCCCCCATTATAGAAGGGTGACCCCCGCCTGCCCGCAGCTCTGCTCCGGTGGGTCAGGGCTGGGAGTGGGGACGGGAGAGCCCCGGGAAGCCCTGGCAGAGCAGGGGGGTGACAGCCTGCCCTGGGGGGGGCTCAGGTTTCCCCACAGTCACGCTGCTATCTTTGACAGCGGCTGGAACAGGGTGTCCTGTCTGATTTATGTCAGGTGGTGGTGACAGGCATTAGCAAACCCTTCCCAATAAACACCCCTTTCCCAGGAGCCTTGTTACTGCTTGAGGCCACGTTGTTTTTCCAGCTCATCTCCTGCCCTCACCAGATCTCTGTTCATCCCCAATGACCACAGCAAGCAGGTTTGCAGTGGCAGCATTTTCCAGAAGGACACCTACCCAGATGTTTCAGTTTTTTCCCCTAATAAAACTCATGGAAAAAAGGAATCTCTAGACGTAGTTCCTCCTGCCACTCTCTGTCTAGACTTCTCTGTCATGCAGATGTTGTCCTAGATACCTGGATTCTTTGTGTTCACAAGGAACAGCACCAATAAGCTTCTGAATTCTGAAACCCTCCCAGGGCAGGTGTCTTCCTGTATTTTGGATACATATGGTGCTTAATGCTGCAGTGCCCCGACTCCCAAATGCGGCTTTATACTGCTAATACAAAACAGATATTCATAAATGCAAACTATCATTGGAGATCCTAAAATGACTGAGGTTAGGGAAGTCCAGATGCCAGTCTCAGGCTTGGTACAAGCGAAACTGTGGAAGACTGACTAAAGCTGAATTTTGTTCTTCACATCCTGTTTCAATTCTTACTGTAGGATTTACGTTTCACTCACGTACATCCCATAACCCCTTGAAGTTGCCAAAAGGCTTTTACATCCTTCTTGTGCCATGTCATGCTCCTGCAAGGCTGCTCAACCAGCTGTGCTGCCTCTCCCAGGGCCGGATGCACTGCAGCCCTGTAGGAAGCAATTCCTGCCTAAATAGCTGCTAAATACGTACCAAACTCCTCAGAGCACGGGAGGATAAAATCACATGGCAATTCTGTAACCTCAGCTGAAAGCAGCAAAATACTCACCGCTCTGTTGATGTGCTTCTTGATGAGAATGTAGAGCACCGGCAGAGTCACATAGGCCAGTATCTCCCAAACCTTCCCTGTTAACAGCATCCACAAGAGCCGGTCCTCTGCATCCAAGTTGACCCAACACCAGCCCACAGACACGTTGGAGGCGTCATAGCCAATCTTCTTCAGAGCAACAGCAGCCACCGTAATGCCAAGGGGGACTCCCCAGCTGAGGAAAGAAGATGGAAGAGCAAGGTTAAGCCAAGATCACGCTCAGTTTAGTCCCTCCACACCCCAGGGAGGGATTCTCCATCAGACAAGGTGCCAATACACATTGCAGAACATCAACACTCCTGCATCAGGCTGAAGAAGTGACTGGCAAACAGGTATTTGACAGCATCTGAATATGGGCTGCAAATCTGCTTCCTGGGGACCCCCTCTAGGAACCTGGATCCCCAGTCCCAAAGGACAAACGTATAATGATGTGCCATGCTCTGAACTGGAACTTGGCCGGCACAGCAAGTGGTCAGGGTCCAGCGAGGTGAACAGGAGACATCCCAACTACTCCCCTTGTCCCGTTTCCTCCTGCAGACAGGTGAGGCTGAGGACTGAACGATGCTGGAGCACTGGGCAAGGTGACCAGCCTGTAGGACTCAGCCATTCAAGAAGAAGCTGGCCATTTCTCAGCTGGCAGAACACGCAACCAAATCCCACGTTCTGATTCCCAAGTGACACCTGGCACAAAGGACCAGCACACAAAGAAATCCACAATTTTATGCCATCACTGTAGTTTTTGTTTGTTTTGGTTTTAAATGGAGGTGTAGCCAATATTTTGGGAGCGAAAGGATACTTTCTGAAGGACAAAGGGGAAATTTCTTGCCAAGGAAAAGCAGCGGCAGTAACAGCAAAAAGCTCAGAAAGCAGAGGAGCCACAGTCAAATAACTTGGAGCTGTGTTTTGACTTTGGCTTCTCTCTTGACAGCAGAGGCAAACATAGGGAAGCATTTAGAAGAAAAATAACTGCGGTGACACGTATGAATCAAGTCATTCAGCAGCTCGGGCTGCCCACAAAAAAACCCCATGAGCAAGAACTGAAAAATTCCATGAGCCCACTTGTTAAAATACCCAGCCCCTTCCTGGGGGCTGTTAACACCCAGGACTTTGTGGGCTGCCCCAGGCTGCGATGTGCAACTCACACGTTACTCCACCACCAAAATATTGCACACATCACCTGCCCTTCCCATGTTCACCCTCAGAGACAGGTTCTCTTGGAGCCTTAAGAGGAACAAGGACACTTCCTCAATGAATGACCCAAGTGCTTCAGAGAGTGCTCAGACCCAGGTTCCAGCACAACCCTCCTGGTCTCTCCAGGGGCAGAGAAAGCCAAGCCATGGCTGCATCCCTCTCGTTACCCTCCTGGTTCACACTCCTCTTTCACCAACAGCCTCCAGCAGCTGCAGAGAACATGAAAAGGATCTTCCTCCTAAAATCAGTTTCACATGCACCAGACTAGGCAGGCGACCAGCAGTTGCCTCGACCAGATTATCAGGAATTCCACAGCCCAACTGAACAATCAGAGACAGTCCCATGATACTAGATCTCAAAAATACCCCATTTCCTACTCCTTAATAATGCCTGGGTTCACCTATTCACGAAACAAATGTAAATATTACGCTGTAAAAAAAAAATATCAGTCAACCCCATAGCACGTTTAGAACATTTTGTTTCAGTGTTCAGTTCAGAACAGCCAGTGCTAATCCAAGCCAGTGTTGTTATTTAAGGACAGTTCTGCCCTCCCCATGCTATTATCAGAGCAGGCTTTCTAAAAACATTCCAAACATCGCCACCATGAAAATGTCTACACAACTCGAGACTCATTTTAGTAAAATGGTGATTTGCCCGAAAACAAGAACTACTGATGCAGAGACATTCAGATTTCAGTACGTTTGGAAGAACTGACCACTAAGGTGAGGAATTCAAGAGAACTGGCACCTCCTTAAAGAAATCATAACACGGCACACAAGCACAAATGAGTCCAGCACCAAAAAAAAGGAAGTGTATTAAGAAACTAATTTGCCTAAATAATGATCTCCTGATCGACCTGAAACTGAAAGAGAATTCTACGAGAAGATAAAAGCAGATCAAATTACGAGGCAGGGATATGAGAGAAAAGACACAGTAAGAGAGGTCGTGCCAGGAATTAACAGACCACTAGGCGAGGGACTTAAAAACACCTTCAAGTGTCTAACTAGTAAAAGGAAGGATGTGGAAGAAAACTGCCACATGTCAGGCCGTTAATTTTCACCCAAGTAGTGTATTGGGATCAGGCGGCTATTCCAAATAACTCCAAGGACAAGGATTACAAACTCAAAGTGAAATTAGACAATCTAGAAAGTAATTGGGCATTTCTGTGAACTCCTTCGGCTCCATTTTACAAAACTGGAAAGGAGAACTGAGACTAGTGATTCAATGATTCTTAAGAACCCCTAAATGACGGGTTCCCAAGGACTGGAAAATATCAATGCTTTATACCCATTTAGAAGAATGGAGGAACAGAAGAACCAGAATATTCTACACTCAGGGCATATGTAAAGATTGGAATTAAAAGGATCCAAGAGAACAGAAAGAGGCAGAAATTTTACTCTGAGCCCCAAAGACAGTGCAGTATGTAGGCTGGGTCTCTCAAAAGCACATTTGGATCTAAATGCAATCAGTGTGGGAGAGAAGGGGAAGAAGCTATTCCTGACACCTCTGTAAGGCAGCTGGCAGTCCCTTCTCGGAGGCAGATACAACAGTACTTATTTCCCTAATACAGATCCCCCTATTAATAAAAATACATGCACCCCACTGTATCTTTCCACACTAACACCAGCGCTGCCTTTATTAAGACAAGACCCTGAAACTATAGCAGTGCACAGCCCAAGTTGTTTTGCTTTTCTTGTCCTCAGTGTGCCTGGGTCAGATTGGTTAATACCACATTTTGATTTATGCTGCACAGCTGCTTTTATTTTTTTTTCCCCTCCCAGAGGCTCTTGCAAGCCAGGAAGATTTGCAGTCACCTGCCTGCACAGGTGAGACAGCAAGCCATCCTGCCAGCAAGCCTGCAGGCGATTCCTTCTGGGGACAGGAATTTTTACTATGTAAAGAGAGACAAAAGAAATGTAAAAAAAAAAAAATTAAAAAAAAATCAGTCTTTTGGTTATCCATCCCATTTCAGGATTCTGGTCCATTCCTCACCCCCACTTTGGATAAACTACTCTCACAGCAAAGATGGTATTACCCAACTAAATGACACTTGATATTTACAAATTCAGAACAAGTGAGGTAGCCAGGAAATTTACACTCCAGATGCCAGAACTTACACCTTACAATGACGTAAATATTTTGAAAGCTAACTGCAAGCTTGTTTTCAAAGCTCATCTGAGCTCAACACAAGTGGAAAACCAAAGCCTGTAATTCTCCTAGCAGTGGAATAGGTGGATGTGTTACCACATGAATCAGTAAGGAACAAACCTGTTAGACAGGTTTCACCCAGTGTGACATCCTCATCTCCCTAAAAAGAAAATTTCAGGTACTGACTTTCCAACATATATTTAGTCAGCTCCACTCAGCTAAAGAACAAACAGTCTCTGGTTATACTCAACATTAAAAGAGTACTCATCTTTACAAACACTTGCCCCTTATGAGTAACTGCTTGTTAGTTAGAAGAATAGGAAACACGCATGACCAAGCTCCATCCTGCCTTGAATCCCTTCCAGAAGTGTCTCAGAAAGACTCTTCAGGCAATGGTCGCTGCATGACTGCATTAGCAACCTATCAAGGAGGGTCGGGGCTGGGGGGGGAATCCCAAATCCAAAAATCCCAGGTTCTTCCCTTGACAAAAATACTGGAAACTTATCTTTCAACCCTTAAAACATCGTCTGCCCTTTGCCACCTTTCCTTTTGCCCTAGACAGGTCTCCCTCCCCAGCCTTCCGCAATGAACATGTGCTGGTACCCTCTTGGACCTGTTGCAGCAGTTCCTATCTGCACAGTACTGAGATTTTTAGGCTAAAAGCACCACAGAGAGACAGCCAGGGGGACCTGGAAGCACTGGAAGGCGTGAGGGAGAGCCAGCTCCAAGCATGATATCCAGAATTTGATTTTATGATTGAGTGCTCAAGCAGAGACAGAAGTGCAGAGATGGAAAGAAGGAAGATGTGTCACACAGGGATGGGCAGAGAACAGGTCCTCGCTTGCTTTCTCTGGCTTTTCATACTGATCATAAAGCAGGAAGAAGCTTTAGACACTGTCTCTGCACAGAATGGGAGTCATCTACGAAGCAGAACCTGGTAATAGGTCATTGATGAAAGCAGTCCATATTGCCCTTAAAAGAGAGCAAATGGGGCTGATCGATACCAAGACCAGAAGATGGCATTTTACTTTTACTGTGAAGACCTGAAAAGCAGCCTAGCGAACTCACCCAGAGGAAGTTCAGCTTGAACACTCCCTTCCTCTCCCTCGCAGGGTTAGAGCAATCTTTCAGGATTTTTATAAAGAGTGCACAGATTACGGCCAACACCATTTCAGTGCATTTGCCCGTCTCTTTCCGCAGGCTGAGAAGCATTAAACCAGATGGAGAAGGTAAAGTACAGACAAAAGCCACACAACAAGCCATTAGCAGACAGGAAAATTACAAATAGGCCAGATTTGCATCAACTCTTTGATGCACCCTGATGCAGACAGTGTGCCCACGATGAAGTCTGACTCCTTTCTAATGCTCCTTCAGCAACATCTGCCTCTACTGTCACTCCATCCCCTCCATAATTCCTACAGTGCAACTCCCTCTTCGCTTGAAACAAAATAACCTGACAAAATCCATTGTCTCACTGCATCTTATTTCACCATCCCCACCCTGACAGATGCAGTGTCACCTCCTGTGCAGACCTTCCTGCCCAGCGACCATCAGAACAGGTAGGGCAGGAACTGGAGCTCCTCCCTGCTTCAACTTCTCCTTCATGTCCTCCCCTGGCCCGCCTTTACCTGGACACAGCTCTAATTCAATCACCTCCCAAATGATGCTGTTTGGAAAGAAAAGGTGACAAACGTTTGACTAAGAAACCAAAGATAATTCAGTACTTGCCCTGACAGCTTTTTTTTTTTTTTTTTTTTAAAAACCAGATCATTCCTCTTATAATTTATTGCAAAAGCTGGGCTGCACAGAGGACTAAAGGATCACTGTTTTGCTCAGCGTGGAGGTAGCACATGATTCCACAAGCTCAAATTGCATAATGAAAGCTTTTACTAAACATGATGTGGAAAACCAGCTCGTTAAATAGCAGGAACGGAGACATAAAGCTACACTGTGCTCCGTTTTGTCTTGCTTTCAATCAAACACGCCAGAACAGCCTTCAGAGGGCTTTTCCAGCAGCCTCCTCACTCGTAGACTATGTTCTCCTACATCCCAGCAACCTGCCTGGGGAAAGGGGAAGGATCCACAGACCAGGCTGATGTGGGGAAGTCGGGGACCTGCAGAAACACATCCCAAAGACAGGAATTCTGGCAGGTATTGCAAACACAAGCTACATGATATTATTTCTAGGACGTTGGGGCAGGTTGTGGAAGGGAAAGCAGAAGCCTGGATTTTCAGAGTCGCCATCTCTTACCAGAGAGTTTTCTAGGTGGCTTTAAGCAAATAATTTTTTAAGTTTTCCACATCTCCATTTCTTCAGTTAGGAGGGGAAGGGGAGGGTCGGGGGGAATAAGCAGGGCTGGTTAGTTAAGACAGCAAAAATCCCTGTTTAAAAGGCACTTGAGGAGGACACACCACCCTCAAGAACAGAGCAGGTGACTCCAGAGCCATCCCAGCCCTTCATCTCAGAGCTGAGTGTTCTGCAGGCAATGGTGGTGGCTCTGGGCCACCTTTGGGGTCCACACCTGAGGGTCCCCCCAGGAACATCCCACAGCACCCACCTGACGGCGTGGAAGCAGACGAGCAAGCCCGTGCCCGTGGGCGAGCCCCTGACGATGGTGATGTAGAGGTAGAGGGCGACCGCCATGGTCCAGAAGAAGGAGCTGGTGTTGGAGAAGGTGGAGAGGGCTCCTTGCAGCACGCAGTCCCATGAGGTCCTGTCGAAGTCCTGCAGCACCCCGTAGAAGTAGGAGAGGGCCGAGAGGAGGTCGGCCAGAGAGAGGTAGAGCAGGAGCTGGCGGGGACGGGTCCGCAGCTCGGGCCAGAGGGCATGGGTGCAGACCAGCAGGCTGGAGCCCAGGAAGGAGAGCACGCAGGACACCAGCACGACCACCCGCTCCGAGGTGTACAGCCGCGTGGGGGGCAGGGGCTCGGGGGGCATTACCGCAGGGAAAGGGGTCCGGGGGACACCGGGCTCCGCTCCCGGAGACGGCCCGGGAGGCAGCCCCGCAGCCCGGCCCGCCCCCCGTTCTTTTTCTTTACGTTAAAAAAAACTCAAACAAAACCACCAACAAAACAACGGCAGCAACACCCGCCCCGCCGTGACTGCCGGCTGCCGCGTAACGGCAGGAACTGATTCAAAAGTAAGTGGTTTTGTTGGTTTTGTGTGTTTTGTTTGGGTTTTTTTATTATTGTATCCTAAAAGCCATACTCGATGCCCTTCTTCCAAGGAGAGCACACAACTCGCCCACCCTTTCCCAAGCAGAACCAAATCCGTGAATGAATCACAGAATGGTTTGGGTTGGAAAGGACCTTAAAAACCACCTAAAAACCACCTGCCCTGGGCAGGGACACCTCCCACCAGCCCAGGTTGCTCCAAGCCCCCTCCAACCTGGCCTTGAACCCCTCCAGGGATGGGGCAGCCACAGCTTCTCTGGGCAACCTGGGCCAGGCTCTCACCACCCTCACACCAAAGAATGTCTTCCCCACATCTCTTCTCAGTCTCCTCTCTTCAGTTTGAAGCCATTACCCCTCATCCTGTCAGTACATACCTTTGTAAAAAGTCCCTCCCCAGCTTTCCTGTAGCCCCCCTTCAGATACTGGAAGGGGCTCTAAGGTCTCCCCAGAGCCTTCTCCAGACCCAACAACCCAATTTGTGGATCTCAGTACTTCACAGAACACTCGTGGGGACACAGTTTGAACCACACATGATCAGATATCCAGGATCAGAGGTTATCAGACAGCAATCCTCCCCCGGTTCCTTCACCCTCCCAAGGTGACACCACTGTTATCTTTCCCTTCCACATTCTTTCCTTTGAAACACCCCAGCGCTGACTCTTGCAGCGACTCCTGCAACCTGTGAAGTAGCAAACGATAAGCAGACACAATGGAGCATTCACTACCACCTTAAACAGATTCCATGTTTCTGTTGGTAAGAAAGTGCCTTTTTCCCCTCCCTTTCAAAGAACTTCCAAGTTGAAAGCACGTCCTTGTTTGCTTCTAACTTGCCTTATGCTTCACTGGCTTCCACACAGACAACCCAGACCTTACGCCTTTGATGTGGATAGTGATGTGCTCAGTTTCCAAAGGAGATGGTTATTGTTTCAGGTGACTTTTTCTCTCAAACAGCTTAATCATTTCCCAGCTACCCCGCAATGAAGGGTCACCGCTGAACTCTCAGTTTTTAACAAGATTTACTCTGACCTGTAAAACCTTATCCCCCACTCAAGCTTCTCTCAGTACCCTGAAGCCATCTAATACACCCTAGAAAACGCATCTGACACATATCTTCAAAAATCCACAAATTATTCAGTGTTTGTGTTTTACTTTTGGCCATGGTGTCTTTTCAGTTTTACATTCCCATCTTCCAAACCGAGGAGCAGTTCTCACCATTTTAAATCACCTCCTTTGACCAGTCTTGTATTTAAAACACACCATTTTACAACTGGGTTTTTCAGGATAACTAGTATTTAATTGAGCTCTGGTTTCGCACTATTGCCACTTTACTGGAAAAAAAAAGAAATTGCACTTTAAAAAAATAAATCTGGATTTCTCTCAGATGTGTAAGAGGGCCACTACCGCTTACAGGGATTTAAGAGCAGGTTTTCCTGTTTTTCCACTGCAGCAATTTCTTCTTCCATTACTCCACAGCACAGCTCCATTCAAAACTTGCAGCCAGTTCCACTGCTTCCTTAAGCTTTTGATGATTTTCATCTGCTTTTGACTTCTGAGTTTAAATCCAATTTTCTAGTGACTCCTGGAAGTCCCTGGGGATCCATCAGTTGGTCAGGATAAGCCTTCACACCCCCTCTGCCAGTTCACAAAGAGCTTTTCACTAACATTCAGCTATGCCTTGGCTACCTAGGATCAGGTGCCAGTCGTGAATAAGGTCTTTAGAGCTCTTTATTAGATTGTTTTAAATGAGTTTTGCCACAGCACAAAGCAGGGCCACATGGGCCAGCACACAGAGCACCCCACAAATGGTCTCTCCGTTGCCTTCCCTGGGCCATCAAACACCCTCCTTCTCCTCCAGACATTCACCACCGAGGACAAGTCACTCCACGCTTCCCAAGAAGTTGCCAGATAGAACTTCAGAGCTTCTTAAAATTCTCTTTATTGAGCCTCCAGCTGTATCCAGGCTTGGTGTGCTGCTGCTGGGTCACCTCGATGCATCTGTCCTTTGCTCTGTTAAAGTTACTTCCTTTGGAAACAAGATCTTTCTTTGTATCTTTTTGACCTTTACCACTCAGTTAAACCTCAGGCAAGCAGGCTTTTACATTTAAAAAATTATTTTGGAGTCCGATGCTTTCTGCATGTTCTTTATAGGAAAAGGAAGTTGCAGTAACTTGCATTTCCCCTGAATACAATCTGACACCAATAGCTTTTTTTAACTGATTATTCCTGGCTTTTTTTAGCTACCCTCTGACCCCAAAAAAACCCCACGAGGCAAAACTTTGTCAAGGCTGCATTCCCAGTTGTTGCTCTTAGACATTCCTGGCTTCTTCCTCGTTCTTTGGTTTCCCTTTCCCCACTTTTATAGCTCAAGACACTCACCCACCTATCGCAGACATCCAGACAAATCACTTCATTTGATACCCGGGCTTTTGAGTGTTGCTTTTCTTTTGGGGTGATGGATATGGCTCTAACAAAACAGCTTAATTATGCCTTGCAAGACAGCTGGTTATTTCTACAACTCATTGTGACCTGACAAACTACCTTTTTTTTTTAGAACTGGAGAGAAGGGAGTATCTGAATCACAACCACAAGTTAGTGGAAATGAAAGTTCTGGTTTTGTCTCGCCATCCAGCATCCCTGGGCATCCCTGTAATCTTGATATTGTTCCCTTCTCCTTGCAGGGCAGTGGTGCAGCTGTCTCTGCCCAGATACACATTCCTCCTTCAGTCCCATGGAATCTGCAGTTGTCCAGAGAACAGAAATATTTGCAAACTACACGACAATTCAAAGGCAGTGCTGTGTGTAGCTCGGAGGAGAGGGAGGGAAAAATCTAAGCAACCAGCTTGTCCTAAAGCAACACACAAAATGAAAACTCCCCTTTGAGAATTTCACCTTCAGATGGTCTTAAAGCACAGGGAGGTGAACCAACCTGGTATTTGGTGGAAAGACACAGAAAGTCTTTTTTTCCTGACTTGAATTCATCTCGCCAACTACTAAAAGAGCTTTTTGACACACAGGCTACACCCTGCATCTCACAAAGCATCAGCTGAGCTGTAAGTACATAAATTTACCTCCACTAACTGTGAGATAGAATGTACTGACATAACCTTTTTTTTTTTTTTTAAAACAATAAAATAAAAAGGCTTCAACAGGAAGTGTTCACTTTGCCTTTGCAGCTGGCTGGGAAGTTGAGCTGAGGCACAGTTCGCAGTTAACTGGGAACCTGGTTATATGCCTTAGGGCTCTCAAGTGATTTTTGCATGCAAGCAAAAAAAATAAAAAAAGAATCTCCTGATTTTCTGGACACTATTTCAAGCCACAGCTTCAGAGAACATACAGGCAAGGAAGAAGAGACTTAGCTGTTTAGAAAAGACCTATAGCTGTTTGATACTGAGCCAAGAGCATCCGAGCGCCCTTTACCACATTCCCATTAAGGTAATTACAACCCAGTAACATCCTCTGACTCCAGTGCACCCTTTACCACATTCCCATTAAGGCCCCAGATGTAATCACAACCCAGTAACATCCTCTGACTCCAGTGCCAACTGCCAGCAGAACCACCCATCCTCACTTCCCACAAGAGGTCACTGCTGTTCCAGGCAGTAATCTCTCTCCCATCACCATTGTCCTCCTCTGACAAGAGCTTCTCCACCTTTTCTCTCTCCCTGATGAGGGCACATGGCTCTAACAGCAGCAGATGGACCTTGGTCACCTTTTGCCATCCCTGCTTCATGCCCACAGCTTACACACAAGTAGTTCCAAGGAGGAGCTTAGAAAAAAGTAGAGCCCAATTTCATTGCACCCATAAAAAATAGCCAGAAATATTATTATTTTTTTTAAAAAAAACAGCCACTAAAGGCTCCGTTTGGGCAAAACCCTTTAATGTTTTATATTTCAAATCACCATGCAGTTCCTTTCAAGGAAGTTCATACAACTGTTTCTTGTACTCACCAGCTTCTCAGGGCTCAGACTGGGAGCAATAAGACACCCAACTGCTGCCCTTCTCAGAGGAATGAAAAATTAATCACACCACACGTAGCCTTTCAGTGGTGCAGATCTGCACAGCCCCGCTACTCCCCTGCAAGACGCTGGGGATACATGAGAATATTCAGCCAAGAATTAACATAAACCTAACTCTGAAATCATAACACCAAAAAAAACTCCAAACACCAAACCTAAAAGAAAAGCTAGCCAACAGCTTTACCAGTACCTGAGCTCTTCATTTCCAGGAGAACCAGACCGTTTTTCTAAATCCTCACCTGATCCTTAGGTCCACTGCATCAACTGAAAGGAAGCCAGGGAAGCATGGTTAGGAGAAGGCTTCCGAGACAGAAGAAAATCCTCATGTTTGTCCTTTGTTGCTTTTTCTAGCATGTGACACAAAAAAATAAAAAAAAAAATTCTACATTTCTAGCAGTTCTTGTGCAGATTAAGGACCTAATCCTTGACTTTATTAACTCCATCTATTCCATTTTGGACAGACACTAATACCGACAGCTTCTGATACAGCATTAGTGAAAGACATCTAGGGCTGCCCAAAAAATTCTTAAGTGATCACCAACAGCCTTTATAAAAATTTGTCATTTGCTGACAGACAACAACTTCTTCAAATAGATTTAGAAGAATCAAGGAAAAAAACCCACAAGGAAATACATTTCCTACTCATCTAATAAGCGACAAGGCAGTCAGTGAAATAGGTGCAGACACTACAGCCACCTCTCATGCAGCTTTTCTTCTCAGAAACATCATTTTTAGAGATTTGAAAGGTCTTATTTGGCAAATGCTGGGGTCAGGACAGCTCAGTAACAATTACAACTAGATGACCAGGAGGAATCTGACATTGGGATGCAAAGAGCCCTGCTGGAAGTTGGGCACAGCGGGACTCTATTTTACAGAGAACAGACTTTCTGGAAGCAGAATTGCAACACACACAGAGCCAATAAAGTAATTTGGAGCTATAAAGGTTATGTACCATTTTCCCTGATTCTCCTTGTGTGGAAAAGCACAAAGTTCCATAGCTTTGTAATTAGTTAAAGTCATTCTAGGTTCTCTGGAATTAACAAGTGCTATATGAATTCCTATTTTATTTTGATGATGCAAGGCTAAATATGGTGACTTTCTCTGCTACTACTTCTACATCAATACCCACCATTCTCCTGCTGCCCATCCCTCTGTTATTCAGCAGTAAGACAGCAGAATGCCCTCCGAGGGAGCCGCCTCTGCTTTTGGTGTCTGAGCTTTGGCCCATCAGATGTTCCTCCAACCTCCTCCTTGTGATTTTCGGGGGACTGAAATAACCAGACCAACACGACAGGCAACTGTTGAGAGTAACAGCTTTTCAACTGTTGGCAGGCTCGGTGTTGGGATAGAAGACTGGCCCCAAGGCAAGCACCACGGTGTAAAAACCTGCTGGATGGAGATGAGCCTGGGATTTATGCAGCGTTTCGTGTCCCACCTCCCGTGCACGGAGAGCAGAGTGTGCAACACAACTGCTGTGACAGGAGAACACCCATCACTCACCAGCAGCACACGGCGCTGGGTCTGTTTAGCAAGGCCGATGGCTTTTCTCTCAGCGAGGAGAGATGCTTAGTCATAAAATGCAGTTTTCCATTAGCATCAAAAACGTGTAGTCAGGCTGCAGAGAACACACCAGGATTCAAGCCAGCAACTCTCCAAAAAGCCATGAGCAATGAGAATTTTTTTCGCAGGCAGAATGTAATTAGTTACACTGCTGGAATCAAGCCAGCACAATCAATGAATTAAACTATGCTCCAAGTGCTGTGATAGTTGGTTTTTTTTTTTTCCATTTCAAATTTAAATTAGGAGATTAATATGGGCTATTCCTTCATGCTATGGCTACATAGAGAAAAATAAAGGTATTAATATTTTACAGTCACAGTGAAACAGAGTATGCCATGAACAAAAAAAAATAAATCTTACATTTAAGACCTGGTCTTAAGGTCAGACTGAAGTATGGAGCAGTGGCACTTTGGGAAAGGGCACTAGAAAGGGCACTTGCACAGAATACAGAGAGGCACTCTTTATAGTCATCTTCATGGCAATCTTTCAATGCTGTCTTTTTAGCCATTCTCATTATCTACAATAAAAATGTGTAGGTTACATCTCTTATATTTAGTGGTAGGGAAATAGGCCAAATAGTAGTATTTCTGGGGTGTAGCTCTTACTGTCAATTGGAGGTATACCCTGTACTTACTGAAGTATGGAGCAGTGGCACTTTGGGAAAGGGCACTAGAAAGGGCACTTGCACAGAATACAGAGAGGCACTCTTTATAGTCATCTTCATGGCAATCTTTCAATGCTGTTTTTTTAGCCATTCTCATTATCCACAATAAAAATGTGTAGGTTGCATCTCTTATATTTAGTGGTAGGGAAATAGGCCATATAGTAGTATTTTTGGCGTGTAGCTTTTACTGTCAATTGGAGGTATACCCTGTACTTTGCAGCAGAAAGGTCTGCCTACAGCCTGCAGTTGCAACACAGATGAGACAGGAATATAAAAGCTGATAATGAGACCCTCAAGTAGGAGTCATGAAGCATGTCAGCTTCCCTGGTTACTGAGCCAGGAGCCTCACACAAGTTATTTCACACAAGTTATTTGAAACAGATGAAGTGCGAAGCAGCAAAGTGACAATTCTGCTAAAGGGAAAGGGCGCAACGGAGCCCAGGAGACTATTTCTTTCATGGGCTATTCCTTCATGCTATGGCTACATAGAGAAAAATAAAGGTATTAATATTTTACAGTCACAGTGAAACAGAGTATGCCATGAACAAAAAAATATTACATTTAAGACCTGGTCTTAAGGTCAGACTGAAGTATGGAGCAGTGGCACTTTGGGAAAGGGCACTAGAAAGGGCACTTGCACAGAATACAGAGAGGCACTCTTTATAGTCATCTTCATGGCAATCTTTCAATGCTGTTTTTTTAGCCATTCTCATTATCCACAATAAAAATGTGTAGGTTGCATCTCTTATATTTAGTGGTAGGGAAATAGGCCATATAGTAGTATTTTTGGCGTGTAGCTTTTACTGTCAATTGGAGGTATACCCTGTACTTTGCAGCAGAAAGGTCTGCCTACAGCCTGCAGTTGCAACACAGATGAGACAGGAATATAAAAGCTGATAATGAGACCCTCAAGTAGGAGTCATGAAGCATGTCAGCTTCCCTGGTTACTGAGCCAGGAGCCTCACACAAGTTATTTCACACAAGTTATTTGAAACAGATGAAGTGCGAAGCAGCAAAGTGACAATTCTGCTAAAGGGAAAGGGCGCAACGGAGCCCAGGAGACTATTTCTTTCATTGACACGAGGACACTCAACACCTACAGACCAGAATCCAAATACGACCTTGAAAAATGGGTTGTAAAACACCACATCGTACTTCGTACCCTCCTTTCTTGAAGGCATAAAATATTTGTGTTGAGCAATTCCCAGATTCTCTCTGAATGAGCAGGTGATGACAGCTCAGGTGCCAGCAGACCGGTGCCCAGCCACTACCATTCATCCCACTAAGGGCTCAGCTGTGGGCACATTCCCAACGTGGCACTCCAGGACACCACTCGGTATTCAACAAAGCTGTTTGCATCACGCATCTTGCCCAGGCAGCAAAAGCACACTTAACAGAACTACTTGAAAGCACAATGCCCACATATCTACAGAAACTACGAGCCACACTGGTTTAAGCACTACTGCAAAAGGAAACTTGAAGAGCACAACATTATCTTGCAACCTGGAATTCCAACGTCACGTGCAGGAAACTTGAAGAGCTACAACATTATCTTGCAACCTGGAATTCCAACTCACTGGCTTTATTAACACAGGTGAAGCTGCTCAGCAATTACACACACAGTGAGGCAGCTCAAGCCCCACGTTTGTCACTCCAACCACATTCCAGTCATTGCATCGCTTCCATTCAGCCAACACCCAGCTCAGACTCAACACGGAGCGGTGGCACTTTGGGAAAGGGCACCAGAAAGGGCATTTACACAGAACACAGAGAGGCAATCTCTGTAGCAATCTTCATGGCCGTCTTTCAATGACATTTTTTAGCCATTCTTATTACACCTATAGCCCTGTTTTTCCCCCAAAAGCCTGGGATACATAGTCATCTTTGGCTCCATAAAGAAGAAAAAAATACTGAAAGCAAATCCATAGAAAAGTAGTATTTTATCAGTATTAAAAGCGGATGTACAAGCTTAACACATCTGTCTCGTGACAAATACCCTGCAAAGGCAGACATGAAGTTTCAGGAGATTTGGAAGAGGAGGATACCATGCTCCCTTCTGGCCACCCATTGCCTTCTGAGGGCAGAACTTTCTTTATAGCCAGTTCATTGAGTTTCACAACTCCCTGTAATTGGTGCAAGTATGTTCGTGTCTGGGGAAAAAAGAAAGGCATAGAGAAGTGTGGGCAACCAAAGTCCGAGCTAGCTTTTTGAAGAGGGGTGGAGCTCCAGTGTCCCTGGATTATGACACCCAGCTCATGCCAAGTCAGTGGAGGCCATAGAGAAAAGACAAACCAACTTGGTTTGATCACAATTAATGTAAGCTCTTATCCTCTGTGGGAGTACTGGAAGCTTAAACAAGATTTAGGCAAGGCTTTTCCTTCTTCCAAGGTTGGGTGCTCTTGCATTTCCTCCCTTGGAACAATCCCATAACACAGGTTTGTCCTTTCCATAAACCCTCTTCGCCTCCCTTTTATCCAGACAATGCAAGTAGTAACGTCTCATTGATAATTAAAACCTAATTAATTCTTCCCCAGAAAGATCAGCAACATTTTTGGGCACCTGAGTTTATGTGCAATGCATACCTGCTGACCAGCACCCAGGAGAAACAGTGATTACAGGCAAGTTGCTCCCATGCTAGGTTTAAAGTCAAGTTAGCTCCTGAGACTGAGGTTTGGATGAATTCTTCCTAAAAGCAGGCCCTTTCTAATGTTGCATTTTTGTAGTGTTACTAACAAGGTGGTATTTTACTCTCAGGAAGATGTATGTGGGAAGGACAAAGAAAGAGCAAAGCAACTTGCAACACGTTTATCTTCTCTTTTCTCCCTCTCATCTCTGAGGCAGTGACCACATCATCAAGCACCACGTGGCATTTCTCACGTTGGGGCTCTGCTCCATCAGCCACCCCAAGCTCCAGCCAAACACCGTACGCCCGGGCAGCATCCCGACCTGGATCCCCAGCCACCTCTTGAGCCAGGGAGATGAGGCAGGCCCAACAATGTGCAGCACTTCTAGGGCAGTATACTTGCTGATTGCTTCCTTGACTATTGTTCACAACAACCAGCTAAGACACTGCCAAAGAAACACTCACAGCTGGCATCACACACGGAGGGAAGCGAGGGCAGGTTGCTGGAGCTCCTCCTCTCTTCTCTTTCACGGAAGGCAAGAGTCTGGGGACAAAGAAAGAACCAATGAACCAACTGCAGCAGAACTAAAGAAAACAGCTTTCAAGGGAGAAGGGGCCCAAAACTGTAAGTTGACAGATACCCCATCCCTTACCCACAATCTTGGCTAAGGCCTCTAAGAATTGCAAATATTAACAAATAAACTCAGCTTACTTGTCTGCAATCCATATTTATCTCAATGAGTTCCCAAGTTCCACACACCACCCTTCAGGGAAGACAGTGGAACAATGAAGTGTTTCTAAACGCTTAATATTTTAAGCCACAAAACTGTTTAAGCTCTTGGTGGGTTCACTTGACTGCACAACTCTGGTTTTAGGTCACAACATATGGTGTTAGATGGAAAGAGAACTCACTGGGAACACAATCATCTGCAAAACAAATGAGAAGGCAACCAGTACTTACTTGTACTAAAGCCATTTGACTTTCCTGTTATACACGTGGAACAGCCTAAGATACACAAGATACGGTGTTATCTAGCGTTCTTGCAATCCTCAGTTCCTGGAAACACATGAACATGTGAGAAGACAACCTTCAGGGCAAAGCAATTCCTTAACTCTTGCATCATAGCCTCAGAAGCAGGTTATTACTCAAGGGTCTCTTGTGCAACATTTGAGTATAAAGGTAAAACATGCTGCATGACTAGAACTTCACTGGCTTTCCTCAGCCTCTAATTTCTTTCAGTGATCCACTGGCAACGCTACATCTGCATGTTCTGAGACATCTAAGCCTTCTCTTCCCCCTCCTGATAGGCCAGGTCAAAAATACCAAAACCTCAGGAATTTGGTTTGTGTTTGGGTATGAGACAGAGAGACAGATACAGACTCTCGATTCTTTCTTGCTGTCACCCCATTTTGCTCACAGAGAAACTATACTTCATCTTACAATAAGTTATCAGAAACCTGCCATCCTGCGAAGAAAGGCATAAGCACCAACTGAAAGGCAAGAACTGGAAACACTTCAAACTGAAAAGCAGATGATAAAACCCCAAACTCCTGGCTATCACCAAGTCTTCAGAATGGTCAGCATTTGGGAGCATATTTTTTTTTTCAAAAGACATACGGTAACCCAAGACAAACCTTTTGGGTTTATTTCAAGAGCCATGAGATGGAGTTCAGTGGCTCCTGTTGTACAGGAGGGCAGAGCAGGGGATGGGAAAGCTCGTGCCCTCTATGTAGTATCAAAGGAGACTGACAGAGGTGAAATGAAGTGCTGTAACTGCACGTCAATCACAGCAGCACAGCAGAGAACAATAACACCTACCAGGCATTGTGATAACAGAATGAGGGCTCCATTCCCTGTGTCCCAGGAGGCAGCACCAATTAATTAACAAATCACTTCTTGACCGTAACCTTTTCACCCTAAGGAAAAAACAAACAATTCCAAAACATCAAAATCAAGACTTGACAACAGTGTGCCCACCTTCCTGCCCTGAAAACGTGTCCCACTCTGGAACTAGCTGTCTTGTTTAAACAATGACCTAATCATCCCTCCAACATTTCCCATCAGGATCAGAACAAACCAGACTATCTCAAAGGCAATTAACAGGTCAGGGACAAGCACAGCTATAGGAGAGCAAAACAATCTGGTACAGAAGAGGAAGATACTACTTCATCTTTCATCCTCCTCTGGGGACACACAGGACTGCAGAATTGCTGTTTCGGGAACTATAAAACTTTCCTTTGAGCCACTAAAAATTAAGCACAACAGGGCCAGGGAAAAGATGCTTTAGGGAACAACCCTGTATGTATGTAGCAGGAAAATGATCCTGCTTTTAATTTTTCAAATCATTTTAGATCCCTTCTGCTGCTTGCTACCTATAAAAATTCCTAGTGCTTCAGGAAAGGAGGAAAACAAATCAACCAACTGGAACTTTTTAACACTCTGGGAGAACACGGAGCAGCAACACCACCCTCGTGTTCAAGGTTCACAGGAAGGGCAGCCCTAAAAATAAATGCCCAATATTCAAAAGTAGAAGAGAAGGAGTGCAGGAGGCCACATCAATACTGCTCAGCTGGTCCAAACACATCTCCTCAAGCCTCCAGCTGCAAGGGGGCAGCATCTTAGATGCAGACGTATGTCTCAGTTGGATCTAATCCATCGAATCTGGCTCCTGGCAGGCAAAGATCTCAATAAACCTAGTCAATATCTATTAAATTAGTGCAGCTCATTACGTTATTTTTTATGGTACAATCTAAGATGTCAACTGAATGGGAACTGCTGTACTTGGCACGGAACAGTGATACGGTAGAAGAATGCATCCCTGCCCCTGAAGAGTGTATTCTGCATTAACAGCTGTGTTGCATGAGACAAGATATTAATTTTCTCCCAAATCACTGCAGAGCCATCTTCGAAAAATATCATCTTTCCTTAATATGGACAAAAATCCTCATGTTATTAAGTATAAATGAAATCTTATCACAGCAGCTATGTAGGAGCATCCTCTCCACTCTTCCTATTGATGTACCTAAAGAGAACATATAAGCTGCAACTCAAAGTTTTTAATTACATGAGTCTGGGACAATAGACATGAGTCTGTTTTTTCCACAAATAAGAAATCAACGAGCCTCTACAGATATGAGGGATTTACCACCATGTGGAGTCCAAACAAGCTGGCAATCAGGCAAGGATTCTTCAAGTTTTACAAGCCCAGTTTGAAAACTAAGCAGGAAAAGGTAAGGGACAGACAAGCATCCCCTCTGCAGAGACCCAGAGTCATTTAGCTGATTATTCACTGCTGTAGCTGCAGGAAAAGCAAGCATTAGCAATACCACAGAAAGTTATCCTGCTCTTGAGTTTGCTCTTATTTCTAGATGATCAGAATCTGAATTTCTAGGGATGACTGACTTGGGAACAGCTTTGAAGTTTTACAGGGAAACCAGACAACTTACCTAGTTTAGAGTTAGAAGGGACCTGTGCAAAGGTGCTGGTCAATAAGATGAGCGACCTCTCTGTTTCAGCAACTTGTCTAACAGCAAATCTTTTTCTCCTCCCTGGCAAATTTGCTGTGAGTGTGCATTTATGCAAAGCATTCTGCTTTAGGGAATCGTCTACAAGGAATTAGACTATGAAGAAATCACTACAAAAAAAAAAAACAACCAACAAGCTGATGGGTGTGGAGGATGGAGATACTCTCCTGTTACGGAAATACTGCATTCCAAGAAAGGTCCTGCCAGGTAAGATCTGCAGCAATTGTTTTGTCATCACTGAAATATGTGATACCATAAGCTTCATTTAATTGAACACATTTATTTCAAGTTCATTCCCAGCATTATGTCATCCTCCTATGGTCAACAAGTGGAGTTTTAAGCTACAACTGACCTAGTCACAGCCCTCGAGCTAGTGCCTGGAGAATTACACAAAGTCTCCCTAAAGATTTGAACAACTCCTGCTGGAAGCCTGATGCAAAGAGATCCTCTGCCACTGGAGACTTCAAGTACTTCCTGTTTTAAGGCAAGACAAAGGTGAATTTTCATCTGTGAAAGCTGTGGGTGAAATTCAGCAATAGGAGAAAACTTGAATGAAAAAGATAACATGACATTTTTCAGACTTCAGAAAAATTTAGGCTGGAAGAGACTCCTGGATATCAGCTAGTTCAACTGCCTATTTTAAACAAGGCTAACTTCAAAACTAGATCAGGATGCTCAATGTCTTTTATACAGGCTGTTTTAATCAACCCTCTCTATTTCTAAACCATAGAATTAGAAGTAATGTCTGTCTGAGTCTATTATGCTTACCAGGGTGAACTGGCACCCCAGAGAAAAAATAATCTTAAACCTGCACCAAAGCACTAGTGGTGGTTGCAGAGCAAGAACAAATTCTCTCCTTTCTCCCAAAGGAGGTGTCAGTCTTTCCTGTTATGAACCTTCACAGAGGAGAAGTGTCTTGCTTCTCCAAATACAGTTTTCCTGACTTATAACCTGACAGACAGGTTTGCCTTTTTAAGAATACATTTGATAAATTCTGACTTTGATTTGATACAAGCCCTGTGATATGAGAATCCTGGGTTTTGGGTTAATCTCTCCAAAAATTTTCAAACTAGTGGCATATTATCCCATCTCCTACTGTAACTCCTGTGAGACACCACCGAGTCAGCCAAAAAATGGTTTTAGGCTACGACTCTTGGCAATGCTTATTAGGAATTATTATCAGCACACTTTTCCTGTCACTTTCTCCTCCCAACTCCCTATAGCATCCTAATACCCCAAATACAGGACACAAGCTGCTTAACAACTCCTGTTTGTCTTTTTTTTTTTTTAATTAACCACACAGCAGAAGCTTTCCTTATGAGATATATGACATGACTCTAGATAGTAAAGATATTTACCGGTTTCTTACAGTCCTGGGGTAGCAGATCATCCAGCTGGCGGTGGTACCGGGTCCATCTCAGTCCATCTAAGCTCCCAGCTGAGCCCAGCCTCCTGCTGCTAAGGCTGATGTACCCCAAACCAGCCGAGCACGGGCTCCAGAGCAGCGCAGGTACCTGCTTCATAATTCAGACTCACTGCAAACTCAGACGGTTCCGGCTTTCTTGATATAACTGCGACTCCACCCCACGTCCCTGCCACCACTCCTGCAGGCCAGCCTCACAGCTAATAAGGAACTGGGACAATACCTTTGCAGTGAGTCACGGACCGTCTAAAGCAAAGCAGAACTAAGAGAAAAGAGCCATTCCTTACTGTAAAACACAGTAAGACAGGCAAAAATCACACAAGGTAAGTGACAGAATGACAGATAAGACAGAGTCCTAGTTTTAGACTAGTCAGCTTCTCCCTTTAGGGCAGCCATACTCCTAACCCCACTGATTTTTAGCTGGTCACTTAGCCGAGAGGGACACAGCCACTTGGGTAACAGGGTATTTTCATCTTATTGCAGGTGATAACCGAAAAAGCAGCAGCAGTTTTGTAGCCCTAGGATCACACTGCAGATAGAAGCCAGATCTGCTCTGAGTAGCTTCTTTCCACAAACTTTCCTGCACGCTGAGAAGCACAAAAGCTCTCACATATAACAGGGGAAATTCATGAAGGAGTTCAGGTTATTACATTGCTGAGATCTGCAGTAGAGCTATGTCTGTCACTCAATCACCTACGCCAAGAAATACAGACTCAAAAATTCCATAAAATATGGTACAGTTAAGGATACTATTATGAAAACATAGAGCAACCATCTCCTCCCATTCTTAAAAGAAATATTTAAAATCTACCACATCTCACCTAAGCGAATCTTCGTTTGGGATATCACTGGACCTGGCTAATCGTTGGCTTAAGCAATATTAAATTCCCACATCAAACCAAGACAAAGCCATGGAATTAACATACACATCGCTTACTGCGCAGCGATAAACACAAACAGAGTACACACCAGACTTGTGCCTTCTTCCACAGCAGTTAAACAGTTCATTCTTTGCCAGATTCAGTGCAACTTCTTCTTTCCTTCAGATGTTATTTTTCTTTTTACATGAAGACAAGCAAAAAAAGCCCTCTGCTCCCTGCGTTTTAGTAAATTCTGTTCTTTCCTTTGTAATAACAACATTTAACAAAGCTTTCGTTACCTTTTTCCCCCTCTTCTCTCCCAAATGACATCAGAGATGTCCAGTAGCAACAACTTAACTTTGACTGCAAACTTTTTAAAGTAGTCCAGTCTCTCTGGCTTGAAGAAAACTGAGCATTTGTGTCACCAAGAAAGCATATGCACTGTCATAATTCACACATTGAACTTACTGCATATTTCCTCTTCCCTTTACACAATTCCCTCCCCGTATCTTATCTAACTTAAATAAAACACACAACCAGAGTGAACTTCATCACCCAAAAAGTTAAGCAGAAGCAAACGTGTCCTGTTAAACCTGCTCTGTGGTCATTTGTCGAATACCACAAACATTGGTTCTCCTTGTAGAGAGAGACCATCGCAGGGCAGGTCTTTAAGCTCAGAGGTGTCACTTTGGAGTTTGCACAAGCAACTCACAGTTCTACCACCAGCTGAGCTGGCTGCTACAGCTACATGCGTGCCATTATTTTTTGGGTAGACATGCTACTGACAAAAGGAGCTTCCAGCAACGAGTTGTGCAGACCAGTAACGCATGGTGGACAGCCCAGAAGGAAGGCGACCCCTTTTCCCCACTGGTCCTGCTCTGCAGCAGTCAGTTGAGGCTGAGAACACCAGGTTATTTAGGGGTTCTGCTGATTCAGTACCTTGGGACAGGCCTGGGCAGATCCAGTGCACTGCAGCTCTCAGAGGAGCGTAGGCCACACGTAAGCACCCGTGAGTCATTAACCCAGCAATGCGGAAGCTTCAGCCACAGATGATAAACCCAGAGTCCCAGCTGTCAGTAGCCCCACGTATGCTCTAGCACGTCCGTCCAAAAAAACCAAAAACCTGTGGATTTATAGCCTAGATAGGCCTGGGAAAGACAAGTTTATCCAGGCTAGAAGGTTCCTGACCTGTCCCCACAATTCAGTCTGCTGGGACAGAGAAGACACTGAGAGGCTGATTCATACCAGAGGTTTTACTGTCTCAGCAGTTCTGTTCTTTCTGGCTTGTTAAGCTCGGGCTCCTCCTTTACCAGGACTTTGGGAGATCTTTATAGAGTCTCCTTCTGGACATGCCTCTCTTTTGTTCCAAGGTTAGACCCACCCATTGGTACATCTTTGCCTCAAAGCAAGAAGCCAAGCGTCAAACAGAGTCTGGTGCCTGCACAGCTTCTCCCCTGGTCTGAGCTGAGGACACAGTCCTGCATCTTAGCTGCTCCCCTTGTACAGAGGTGTAGCAGCAGACCCACATCACTGGGGGAGAACATCTACAGGAAAGTTTGAGCAAAAAAAGATTCAAACTCCATTTTCAGCAGTATACAATTTAATTCCTCTTACCAAAGCTTTCTCTTGTCCACTGGGTGAAGGATTCTTATTTCAGGGAGAAGATTGCTTCAGGCAGGCTGGGCGTCGTTTTGATGCCTGGTCACTGCTCCTACAATACATTCAAATGCAAGTAGGAAAAAAGTACATAAAACTGAATGCTCGAATTAGAGTCCTGCAGTTCTATAAGCCTCTTCAGCTGAGTCTCTCTTTGGAAACAAAACAATGGCTCATGTGTTATTAACTTCTCTCTATTTGCATTAAGAGATGGTCTGTACCAGTTACTGGAAGATTACTGGTGTTCTACCTTCAAAACACAAGGAAACACAGACTTGGCTACAAAATGGCCTAGAAAGTTTCATCGTATACTCAAAACGAGACCCCAGTCGTACAAGGAAACCTGCTGAGGAGAAGTCCTCCCCATCCAGCTGTAGAGAACAAGCAGAAATAACTGTATTTTTCATAAAAAGGAGGACTGACATCTTTTCAGCAAGAAAGCACTGATATATTGTTTCTCGTTTAACCACCTTTCTTCCAAGGCCATAGTAAAATTTAGTGCAAGGAAAAGATTTCTCAAAATCTGCACTAAAAATCCTCAAGCTTCATCATATACTCAGAACGAGACCCCAGTCGTACAAGGAAACCTGCTGAGAAGTCCTCCCCATCCAGCTGTAGAGAACAAGCAGAAATAACTGTACTTTTTATAAAAAAGGAGGACTGACAAGAAAGCACTGATGTATTGTTTCTCGTTTAACCACCTTTCTTCCATTTTTCATAAAAAGGAGGACTGACATCTTTTCAGCAAGAAAGCACTGATATATTGTTTCTCGTTTAACCACCTTTCTTCCAAGGCCATAGTAAAATTTAGTGCAAGGAAAAGATTTCTCAAAATCTGCACTAAAAATCCTGTAGTTCCCCCACTCTTTGAGACAAGGTACATGCACCGAGATGTCAACAGGCCAGGACAGATAAAAGCTCTCTTCTCATTATTGGTATGAAATCTGCTACAGTGTCACTTAGGTTATAAGCCTGTCCATCCCCCGTGATACGTAACAGATCAAAACAGAGCAAAGTATTAGAGAATATGACAGTCAGCTAGCTGACAGACAATTTTTAAGCTTTCAGCGGAGTTTTTCCTTTCCCACTCTGATCCAACTCCCTTCCTAAAGCTTATCCATAGTTCAGTCTGCCTAGATAGATATTTTTGTCCCTTTTTGGAGAATCCCAATCTGGAGTCAAAGGGATGAAGCAACAAGCACCCCTAGCACTACTCCACCAAAAATCAGTGGAGCTGCTCAAGCAGTGCCTGTGGCCTTGTGTTGCTGCTTTAACATCACTCATCCCTCAAATATTTCTCTTGCACATCAGCTTTCTGCAGCTGCTTAAAATAGGTCAGTTAACTTTCTCTTGGGGGACAAAACGCAGTGTGAGATGACAAGACAGAAACATGGTCACCGGAGCTGCATGTCCTCAGCATCCTTGGGCCAGGTGCGGAGGGAAGAAAAAAGGAGCCTCGTTATTTAAGAATCCTTTGTTCCTCTTATTCTGTTTGGAATTTAGACTGAATAGGTCATTTCACAGAGCCCAGAGCCCGCAGTTTCATGGTGCATGTGGCTTTAGTGCATTCATTAGGCCTGAAGCAGAGTCCTAGATGCAACACCACCCACGAGATCCATTACTCTGTTGGGCCACAAGTTCTTCCAAGTACAGAAGAGCTGCAGTCTGACCAGTGTGCCCACTGGAACTGTCAGTGTCAGAGAGTTAAGGCTCAATCTGAAACTCCCTGCAAATGTAAACACGTGTGCAAACAAAACTCCTTGCTGGAATTGTGCACCTTTAACATCGCTGCTTGCCAATACCATCAATGGTAGAAGTAAAATAGTCAGAAGAGGAGAACGGCATTCATCGTAATCAAATACTACGTGTTTACCTTCAGGTCCTGCAAAATAACCCTTACCATTTCCAGTCTAGTAAATGGAACAAAAAAGCACCTCACAGCACTTAAAAACTATGAAGCCAATAACAACCAACCAAACTCACCCTCAGCAGGCAGAAACTCCAAAACACGCTGGCATATATACAGCTAATAAAATACCAAACCAGATGAAGGACATGTTGCTTACAAATGAATACATTTTATATCAGAGATAAAATTAGTGGGCCTGTCTTCAAAATACAGAAGAAAACCTTACCCATTCACCCTACCTGCTCTGCTGAGATGCCCCTGATGGGCAGCAGGGGAGATGACACCAAACCCTGGGCCCAGCCCTGTGCTGGTGTAGCCAGTTGATGCCAACCGACTGGTAGGTACGTACTTCTGATCCCAAACGACTCCTCATGTCTTTTTTAATTCTTATCTGAGCCAGCCCTTTCCACGAAGTACTGGAAAGGCCCTCTCCTATGTAGTGTAACTTATCTAGATAACAGATAATCCCACTGGTGTTTTGCAGACACCTGAAACCTCATGATAAGCAGGTGAGTGATGCACGGGGCACCCCGATGGGGGTAAAGCCAAGCTCCACTTTGCCAGAGCTCAGAAAGCCTGGAGAGGGGCAGTGGGGAACAAAGCCAAACCCAGCCCAACAGAGCCTTCTTCCCCCACGTGAGCATCAGGTGACACAGCATTCGAGCTGCATTATTTATCCTTTGCATTACAAAATGAATGTGGAGGCACCATGTTGAGCCAGGCAACAACACTGGAAATAGGATGGAGAGGACAAGTTTGTGCTAAGTGTAGCAGGAGCTGCCAGCTCCTTGCAAAGAATTAAGCATTCAGCTTCCGTGTTCCCCTATATAAATGCTAGACGAGACAATGAACCACAGTGGCTAATACCACACAAATTAATTTACCTTGTCTCCTGAACACAGAAGTCAAACAACTCACTCCCCAGAATCAAATCACTTACTGCTCACTGGACTCCAGCTGCTAAGGAGCATCCTCAGCTTTCCTGGTACGGCTGCAGCACATTGGGACAGGGGGAGCACAGAGCTGCTTTTCTGGCTGCTACTGCTTTTTAGGATCCCTCAAAAAAATAGACACTCCTCAGTATCCCCAACTCCGATGTGCATTTGTGTATGAAGGGCTTGAAGGGGGCTACAGAAGAGGAAAGACAAAGAAAAGAAAGTAAAGGAAACACCCTTTTCCCCAACAGCTCCGATGACAAGGGCAGTTACTCTCACTTTCTCCTCCTGACTTCCCAGAGCTCTGAAAGCTTCCCTCGCTCAGGATTTTCAAACACAGTCCCCCTTCAACCCCCACAGCCCCACGCAGACACAGAGAGAATCTGCAGAAAAGCTGGCAGAGAGTGTAAGGGGCAGCCACAGAGAGCAGGTCTGCAGGGACAGGCACAAACCCAGGCTGCACTTACCTGACGAGACAGAGAAGGTCAGAAAGGCTGGTTTGGGAGATGGCCGGGGTCTCTCGAGGAGGTCTGGGCAGCAAAGCAGCTGCAAATGGCAGAGGCAGATCCTCTTCGATCCTCTGGGATCCCTGTGATGGCAAAGACAAAGGCAGGCTCAGGCCTGAACAAGCCCAGACAAGCCCAAAAAAGGCTCTTCCTGAGCCTGCCCGGTTACAAGAGAAGCCAGCCCTCTCTGGGTGTCACAGCTCAGGACCAGGGGCTGGCCCCCCGGCCGGTGGGATGGAGGTCAGCACACAGCCCTTTGGGACAGTACGGGACCGAATTTCTTCAGTGCAGCATCACTGATTTCAATGAAGCTGAAACAGACCGATCGGGAGCACTTTGACTTCAGCACACTTGTGCCAGGGCTGGATTTTAATCTATTTCACTGAAAGAAGCCCACATGAGGAAGAATGCAAGATTTCTCCAGATTTCTTCCTGGCAAAGGAATGTAACCCACAAGTTTGCAATCGCAGCAGAGGCTCCAGTGATTGGGAAAAGCAAAAATTGGAAATAACTGGCAAGAGAGGCGCTGCAGCAAAGACACCAGAAACCCATCAGTGCAGGACCCCAGGTTTAAATGCACACACAACCAGACCCATCCATCAGGCTCCGAGCCTCTTTTCCTGCCAGGCCACTCAGCTGAAGCCCACCCATCCCAAATAAGCCCCCCTCCCCACAACACTAACTTTGTTAGAAATGGGAGGGTTGTGGAGGGACACTACGGCACCTCGTTCATTCTCCAGAGAACTACTTATTGTGCACACAGCTAATTAATAAGGAGCCCTTCAGAGACAGAACTGCAGCAGCCTCCTCACCACTGGCTCACTTAGAAAGTGCTACAAACACCTACGTTTTCATTAAATATTTCATGGTAGAACTTGTATGTGTATACACACACACACCTACCCTAGCACATCCCAACAATGAACAGCAGCACACAAGTGTAAGTGACTACAGCCACTTTGACAACCTGTATTTGGGCCAGCAAAATGAAGAGATGTGCCAAAGCAGTGCTCTGGCACCAAACTGAGAAAGTCTGTTACAGAGGAGGAGAAATGGAGTCGGTGACTCAGCTGTACTCTGCCCACACAGACCCGGATCAGAGAAGGCCCTTTAAACTGTGTGTTTCTACTGATGCTGGATTTATTCATCCCTTCTCATCGCTGCCTTGTTTTTCTCCCTATATATTGCAGGGCTCCCCTTAGATCATGCTCTGGCCCTGAAGAGCAGAAAAAGCCAGAGTAAAATGAACGTGTCCCACCAACGTGGCATGAAAGGGAACAATAACCAGAAAGATGAAAGGTGGCCTGAAGGAAGCCGGTTGCATAGGGACAGCTCGGATAAATTTCTGCACTTATGTGCACGAAATGACTTCTTTTCCCCATTCATTCTGGGCTTTGTGAGCCTCTCACCCTCCTCCAGAGCAATGTGCCCGAGGAGGGATGCTCTCCAGCACACAGGCTCCCCAGGTGTGCCCTGGTGCCCGTACCAGCCTCCACGCTTACATTTACACTGCAGGTGGGTTCCTTGGGGTTGCCCCTGAGGTACCACCACAGGTTAGGGCACGCCTGGAAGCTCCCTTTAAAAGCAGGGTTTGAAGCCAAATGCTTGAGATTTGCCAAGCATGACTGGGTATTAATCTGACAGAGCCTGAGCAGATTTAATGGCTGGAAATACACCCCTATTCACTGTTGGCCACCACTACCATAGGGACAAGTGGCTTTTTGTCATTTCCCAGACAATTGAGACACTTACCAGTTGTACAGAAAGACTAAGCTGAGTGACCTTGTTAAGTGCACACATTTGGGAGCCAGCAATCCAAGGCTTCCTACAGGTATGCTGGCACCATGACCAAACAGCTTTTCTGCAGAAGGACTGGCATCCTGCCACACAAGGGGCAACTGCTGCCTTCAACCTGCGTGAGCTGTCACCACTTCAAGACCTGTGATGATCCCATCCACCAAAGTTCATTAAGGATGGGTCTGGCTGATGAAAGCTCCCCAGAGCACAGGAGGAGCAAGTTGCAGCCGAGCTGCTCCTGCTGTAATTCCAGCCCAGCTCATTCTCTTGAGGAGCGTTTAGGGCTCTGCCAGCACTTGGGGGGCACTTGAACTGGTCTCACTGGTAGTGCCCTCACTGCTAAACCAAGCCACCTTCAGACATAACCAGATTACAGAGAAGTGCCAGATGCTGCTGCTTGTTCTTTACAGCAGCAGAGGGAGGCAGAAGAGCCAGAGGGTAAAAGCCAACAGCAGAGGATCAGCTGGAACTAAGCAGAGAAACTGCATTAGGGACTGAAATTCAGTAGTGAGGCAAATGGTGGATTATTTTATCTTTAAATCAAGGTGAATCACCTTTCCAACATTCTGCTTCAGCCCAGCAATTTAGTAGACTGCATGAATGAATTATCACTGCTTAGTGGTCAGACTACCTTAGTAGATATCTCCCATCCTCAAACTCTAGGGAACTATGATCTGAATGTGAATTTACTTTGACTCACATTTTACCTTCACAGTTATCTGCCACAGTATCACACAATAGTTAAAAGCTTGTGTTGTATACAGATACTAGTGGCAGATTTTAATGCCAGATGAGAAAGAAGTACATATGCACAGAAAAATTACCTACCCTTTCACTGTCAGCTTGTTGATCTGCACCCAGCAACCAAGACATCATGACACCAAGTTACCACTTCTCCTACAAAGGGCAAAAGAGTATTCTCAGATAATGTGAAGAAAAACAGCAGAGAAGAAAACTCCTTTAAGGTCCCGACCACTCCCCATCCATTTTCCAACCCTTTCCTCTCAGTGGTACCACTATAGGGGCAGATTCATGAACACTTACACAAATCGTCAGTCACAAGTCACTAATATGTGACTTCTCTCCCCTCAAAAAAATCATCACTTTAACATACAGATGGCAAAATTCTTGGTAAACAGGGAAAAAAATTCAGACTTTCCACAAAGTATACATTTCTGTATCTCCCTTGCAATTGCAGATTTTGTAGCCATCCACTTGTAATGAGCAGAGGATCCAGTTACTTTAATTGCAGTGAAGTGGCCTGTTAACGGTGAACAGAAATACTGTATGTGCCACACCAGTTCCTGTGTTCATGGTTCTATTTATGACATAAATAGTTTGGGCCTACCCAACAGGCCCTTTTATCTTGTAGCCTGGTCACTTCCCAGAGGCTAAGTAAAACATGACTGAAACATAGCCCAAGGTCTTCACACAAACCTGACAAACCTCAATAACCTGTTTTACATCTTCTATTGCGGAAATACCCTGGTTAGCATCAAAGTTGGGAAACTTTAGCAGCAAGTGAATGTGGAAGGCATCCAACTGCAGTGTCATGTGTTTCAACAAGTCCCCTTAGCTCAGCTGAGGGAATGCCATGCTTCAGCAGAGCTGGATTAACTATCCGTGTGTACAAGCTCCCAGCCTGCACTCACAGGAGTTCACACAACAAATCCCAGCTCACACCAAGGGAGCATCAGCCTGAACCAGCTCCCTCTCACACTCTATAGTCTAAGAGTAGAAAGACACACTTCGCCTATCAACTCAACTTGAGATAATGTGATTGGGGTCTAAGCATATCATTACTTCACTCCAGCAGCTGGCTCTCTGCTCAAGTCTTCACTTGCAGCAACTGGATGGACAAGGACTGGAGACTGAGACACATCAACCACCTGGAACGTGAACGTAAGCATAAAGAGAAGCTCTGAGGCTGCTAGAGGAGCACAAGCTGTCATGAACTCAACAGACACTGTCCCCAGCTCTTCTGTAGATCCGTTCTCTCCACACTGTCTTCTGGCAAGACTGCTGCAGACATACATGCGTACTTAGTAAACACTAATTACAGCTAATGAGATGGGGACAAAGTCTCTTCAGTTGCATACATGTAAACACAGAGCAGAGTGATTAGCATCAGTGAGCATGCTGCTACTCAGCAGATGCTCAGGTTGCTAGATTGCTGGTGCTCCCATGTGTCTTGCAAACTTGAGTGACCGCTTTCTCAGCCACACGAAGGATGCAGGTCTTTCTAATCCTCAATATAATTTCTGCAGAGTTTGGATTGGTGTTTAGTGGTCACATTCTGCAGGTACGCCTGTCAATGCTGGGATTTCCTTTTGCTTCACACTTAAGGAGAGAGTAACTGGAAAGACTGCTGAAGATCTGGCAACAAGAAGAGAAAAGCCCTGGTGAGACACAAGTCTCTGCAGAGCTCAGTGAGCCTTCCCGAATCCCTGCAGGGCCAGCAGGTTGCCAGGAGTCCCGTGTGGCCCAGGCTGCTGGCAGCAGTCTGGCTATGTTTATGTCACATCACAGTTGCCAAACAGAGGTGCTGTGTTTGAGGATAAAGAGGGAAGAAAGATATAAGGACTAAGATATAAGGAAAGTCCACCTCACAGGTAATGGTCTAATATACAAGCTACCCTTTCACACCATGTACTAATTAGCCTCCCCCATCAGTACACAGCAACTCAGGTCTGGTTCCGTTTCCTGCACCGTCTCTATCTAAACAGCCAAAAACCCATTTAAACACCACCAATAGCACCATTTCCCAGAAGCTCCTGGTCTCCAAGAACACTGGTGTATTCCCTCCTGAACCATTTTGTGGGTTCAGCAGCGTATGAACATTTCCCCTTTTTGCAGAAAGAGGGAAGAGAAGCAGAGCAATTAGCATAAGGAACCGCACTAACTCAAGCGCAGAGCAAGGGATGATGTTCCAGGCAATTGAGTGTGATTCCAGTGACAACTGAAACATCTGGCTGCTCAAACTGAAATGCCTTCTTCACTCTGACAGTCTGATTGGCCTTGCTCAGACACGTACCAGTTCCAAGAACAGGATTTTTCTCTCTCTTAGTCGTATTCTTTCTCTCTCCTGATGAGACAGAAACTGAAGCAAGGACACACACAGCCCCCAGATCTCCACGCTGCACAGGAGACAGCATCCAGCAAGAGCTGCCAGGTGCAGTGACACCTCGACACATCGACGGGGTTTGCAACTGGCCTGTTAGAAAGGGCTTGTACCACTGATGGACTGAGACACACTGAAGCCCCCACTAGGCTGCAAAAGCCCAAAGTTGAGGCACTTTGAC